GAAGCCAGGGCCGGGAGTTTGTCTTGATGCTCCTCCAAGCAAGCTGGGTGCCAGGTCTGGAGATCCAGCCTCTTCCAAAGGCAGCCGGTGGCACCCCACCAGGGGTCCAGCCTCCCTGCTCCCACATCCCAGCCTTGGAGGAAGACCAGCTCAGGGATGCTTAGGGTGGTGGGGGTTGGACTGGGGGGTGTACATCTTGAGATGACTCACATGCCACCCGCGGGGAGTAAGGGGCTGGGGGATGAATGGATTTGTAAACCAGAGGGAGGGGTTGAGGAGATGAGCTTTGATGCCTTGATTCGCTCGCGTCAGTTTCTTCAGCATCTGCAGTGCGTGGGGTTGAGCGATCCCACTAGGGGGGTGGAGGGGAGGGCTGGGTGGCTGGCTGACGTTTGCTTCCCGCCTGCTGGGTCGGCCCAAGCAATTCATGAATGACTCACCTCATTGTCAGGCTGATTCACTGTTCGCCTGGGGACTTGAGGAGGAAGGAGGCGGATGGCCCCCTCTGTACATCTCGCACGTGCGCTCACACGCGCATACACGAGTGGGCGGGGCTCCAGCGGGTCCCTATTAAGGGGGAGGGGGATGTACCCCACTGGTCTGGAGAGAGCAAGTTTGAGGTTTCTGTCTATAGTTGACTGTGGCTATTTCCATTCGAGTTAATTAAAATTAAATACAATGAACACTCCGTTCTTCAGTCGCTCTCACTGGACACATTTCCAGGGCTCAGTAGTCACTTGTGACAAGTGGCTGCTCTATTGGACAGTGCGGACAGAAAATATTTTCACCGCTCTGTCCCACTGTGCTGGTCTACCCGGCCTTCACGCACACACAAAGCCACACAAATAGACAAGCCTTTTCCCACCCACATACACTCAGACCTCCCCCCTGGTAGGCACCACACAACGCACATTTCATTCCACACACATTTCACACACTCACTGAACATGCAACATCCACCCACCAGCAAAACCACATAAGATTCCCAGTGTGTGTACAACCACGCCAGTGTACGCCGTTTTCCAAACCAAGGCAAATGTCAAGGGAAACACATAAACAGACCCACCAGCACACTGACTCCTCGCATACAACTATTCATGTGATAAAAATACAAATTGGGGCAAAATGCACTTGCAAATATGCTGAAATAGATAGAAACTCAAGCCATGTGGTTCCCATAACAAATCTCAGCATATGTTTGCGAACTTAAACGGGGGGGGGGGGGCATTGTTGAGCCCCTGCCAACGTGCCCCGGAGTTGGCCATTTCCACGCATTAATTCATTTCATCTCACAGCAGTGCTGTGAGAAAGGTGTATTATTCCATTTTCATAGATGAGACAACTAAGGTTCGGAGAGACAAAGTAACTTACCCAAGTTCACACAACCAGTTAGCAGCGGGGTCAAACATGAACCCAGACTGTCTAACTCCATAGCCAATGGAGAACACTGTTTACACACGCGCGCGCGTGCACACACACACACACACACACACACACACGCCAGGCGCACTGTCCTTTGTACTTAAGAAGCTGAGGCTCCTCATCCAGCCACTGCAGGTTTTTGCGGAAGTGAGCATGGGGTTGCCAGGACTCATTTGCACTCCCTCCTGACAAATGGCATTAAGTCATTCAACAAATGCTTGCTGAGTGGAGTGTCTTCCATGCACCAGGTCTAGTGCCAAGTGCTCATTCACGAAAGTGAAGAGCCACAGTCGCTGCCCTGAAGGGGTTCAAAGCCCAGCAGGGAGGTGTGAAGGAAACCTGAAGACAATACAGGGCACATTAGAAACCCAAGCTATGGTGGAGCTATGCCTCAAATGCAGGAAACCAAGGAGAAGGAAACCTGAGTCTGCCCAGGGCAGTTAAGGCTTCTTAGAAGAGGCAGCCTGTGAACTAGGGCTTGAAGAACGAGCGAGGTGGAGAGAGGCTGTTGTTGACTGGGAGGCTGGCTGAGGTTGAGATAGGACCGTGAGGCAGATGCATGTTCGAGAGAATGGACAACAGGGAAGAGAGCCTCTGGATTAGGGAGGCCATGCATGAGGCTACTGCACCAGTCCAGGCAGGAGAGAGTAAGGCATCTACACAAAATGAGGGATGCAGGGGTCGTGTGTCTTCTGGTCCTGAAACAAAGCAAGGCGATGGACTTCTGATCCATGAACGTGTCATGAGATCCATATCCATAAATTCTCTCTCAGAATGAGGTACATGTGCTTAGGCACATGATGTTTTGCACTGAATTACAGGGAACTTACACTTCTTGAATCCCCAGCTTAAGAACCCAGTTCCTTGAATTATAAGAGGCAAAACAACATAGTGGTTAAACCTGTGGATGCTGGAGCCAGACTGCCAGGTTAACCACCTCGGCTCTATCACCTGTTAGTTACGGGCGCTTGGGCAAGACACGGATGCTGTCCTCCTCTGTGAGGCAGACCTGACCTAGCGCCGCGTTGAGGCTTGTTACAATGATCACGTAAGTTGGCAGCTGTAAAGAGCTCAGAATCCTGCCTGGAACACAGGAAGAGCTCAGGAATAGTGGCTGCCCTTATTCTAGGTTACATCACAGTACTGCTGAGACCCTCTCATTACACGTGCTCCCCTCTGCGCCCCACTTCATGGCTGATGGTCTAGTGTCTTCTGGTGTGCGTCCTCCTGCCTAAGCCCCAGCATCCACTTCTCCCTTTCCCTGAACTCACCCTTTCCTTTTTACTTGTTTTTTTATTTTTTAGATTTAAAACAAAATTATTTATTCTTAGAGAGAGGGGACGGGAGAGAGAGCAGTAGAGAAACACTGATGTGTGCCCTGACCCAGGTCGCACTGGTGACCTTTTGCTTTGTGGGCCAGTGCCCAACCAACTGAGCTACTCCGTTCAGGGCTCCTTTTTATTTTATTTTTTATCCTCACCTGAGGACATTTTTTCCCCATTGCTTTCGGAGAGAGAGGAAGGGAGAGAGAGAAACATCAAAGCCAGAGAGAAGCATCAGTTGGTTGCCTGCCTCCCATACATATCCAGACCAGGGTTGCATGTGCCTGATCCCAGACCAGGGATCGAACCCGCCACCTAGGCATGTGCCCTGACCAGGAATCAAGCCTGCAACCTTTCAGTGACGGTACAATGCTCCAACCAGCGAGCCACATGGGCCAGGGCCACCAGTTCTTTTTTATGAGTCTCCATTACCCTAAATTCTGGTTACTGCAGTTCAGCCCTCTAACTCCTCTTCTAAGAGGAGGAAGGGGACCTGGGCCGCATCACCATGGAGACCTGGTCCTTGCCTTTACTTTAAGATTACAGTGCTAAGAAAGAGAAGACATTTGATTTGGGGGAGAAACCTTCAGCCTGAGGGTCCTTTCCAATTCTAAAACCATAGACAGCTTCCATACTGTTTCCTGTCAGGCCCTCTCCAAAATGTTGCAGGTCCACATTTTCCATTTGCACCGGCCACTGCCCCCACCCCCATCCAGGTTCTAACGGGGGGGGGGCAACAGATGCCAAGTTTACTTAACTTAGAAAGGTGTTGGAGAAAGCATAGGATTTCTAACCAGAAGATCCACCACTGAGAGAATCCTGAGAGAATCCCTTCCCTCTCTGGGCCTCAGCTTCTTAATCGGTGAAATAATACCTGCCCCTCAGTCTTCATAGGAATTTTGTTCTGACAAAATGAGCTAGTGGTTAAAGCTGGCAGGGGCAGCGTACGGTGCAGTTAGGAGTTATCACTATTCTTCTTGGCCTTGGGGCTCTGTGATCTCCTGTTAGCCTGGGAGCCTTGTAGCTGGGTCTCCAGGACTGTCCACAGTGGTGTGGGATGGGCTGTGTCTGCACTTCCTGTGAGGAGAGGAGGTATATAAATGGGGGGGGGGGTGGATTCTGACCCCCCAGTTCAGAAATACAGAGGCCTTGAGGGGATTCCTAACTCGGATGAAAGTTAGGAGTCCAGGTTCCCTTTCCCACTGCCATTCTGGCCTCCATTCTGATACATGACAAGTAAACTGGTCCACATGGAGCCATAGGCTGCCAGAGGTAAAACCAGGCCAGACTGCCCTGGGGAAGATTCAGGGCTGGCTCTGATCAGACAGTTAAGAACTGGAATCAGTGACCTTCCTCCTGCCTCTTGAGCCCTCAAAACTCTGCAGCCCTAGCTGTCATCCTGACTGGCCCCAGAGTGACGAGCAGAAAGAGAAACTGAGGTTGGACTGAGGGTTATTAACTACAGCAGGCTTTAGTGACAAAAGCTGGCCTTCCCAGCTCACTAGGCCCCTGATCGGCTCTCTGCACATCTCCCTTGGACTCTATCTTTTGATCTGTGTCTCCCTGACGTGTGAACTTCAGGGCACAAGTAGTCATTCACTTCTCTATCCCCAGCATCAAGTGCTGTGCCCAATATATACCAGCCATTGTGTCATTCAATAACTCTATTGTGCTAAGTGCTGAGGATATAAACTTGAGTATGCCAGATAAAGTCCCTTCCTTCAGGGAGCTCATATTCTAGTGAGAAAGACAAGCACAGTAAAGTGCTCGAAAAGGAAATAGTGATGGAGGTGGGTGTTAAATGAGAGAATGGATGATCGGGAAGATCCAAGATCTAAGCTGAAAGATGAAGGCTGAAAAGAGTCAGACTATGGGCGCTTTTACTTAATAAATGTTGCAAAGATAGAGGGACTGATGGATGGATGGATGAGAGATGAACAGACAAACCAACGGAGTGGATTCTGGTGTGAATGAGAGCCCCGCTCAAGAGCACAATGCCTACTGTACTTAACACAAAAGAGAAGGGTGGGCAGAATTGGGCGTAGAGGACCCGAATTGCCAAACTTGCTCTCACTGGACCGCGGGTAGAACCAGCCGATCCGGTCCGAGAGGCCGCTAGGGGGCGACCGGGAGCTCATCAGTTTCCCTTTAAGGCTGGGGCGGAAGACTGGCGGATGAAAGGCCTTTGTGTCGGCTGGATAAAAAGAAAACCTCCCCTTTAAGAGGGCGGAGACGCCGAAGTGGCGGCGGCTTCGAAAGCGGCCTACGGTACCCGCCCTCAGTTTAACTACGACCCTGCTGGTATTCACCTGGGTCGTAGGCACCTCTCCGACCTCGCCGCAGGGCCCGGCCAAGTCTGAGGCCCCGGCGACCACTTAAGTTGGGGCCTGTCCGACTAACCCTCTGGCCGAAGCCCACCTGCCGTCACCATGGTAATGCCGCGCCCGGGGGCGGCCTGGACTCTGGGTCTCCGGGACCGGGAACTGCCTTCTAGGTTTCAGCCCCTCACCCGGGCGTGCAGCAGGGCTGGTTTAGGGTTTGGGTGAGAGTTCAGCGAGGTCGGGAGATCTGAGCTCGAGTTACGGCTTGGCAGGGACGCCTCACACACCCTAGGAAGGCTTTCCCCACCGACCTCCCTCCGGGCCTCCGTTTCTTTCCGGATCTCCTGTTCCTCCTTCCTGGTGCACTCATACGTCACTCCGCCTGAGCCCGACCCTCTCCCCCCAAGCCCGTCCATCTGAGCCTTGGACATTTGGGGTTAGGTATGCCTAACTGCACCTCTTGCTACTCGAGCATCTGGGGTTAGGCATAACCCTTGGCTCTGAGTTTGACACACATCTCTTAGAGCTGGCCACTGCAGCCTTGCTGCCTCCGAAAGAAGGAACTGGGGACTCACGCATCCCACCTTCCTGGAGCCCTAGCCTTTGGGCATGGGATTAGATAGAAGGAAACCCGTGGCTTGGCTCTCAGAAACAAGGCCTCTGTGCTAGGCATGCTTGGATTATATCTGATAAAGGTCCCTCAGGCCAGACCTGGTTGCAAAACCTTTATGCCTGCCCATTGACGCAGTGCTGAGTGTAAAGAATGACCCACGCACGCTTCCCTTGGCAGCCTTTCCTTTGCCGCGTCCCTCCTCCTCCAAAATTAGTCCAGATGGACCCGACTGGATTATTTTATGGCGAAAGGATTTGAAATCATCTACGTCTCTAAGTAAATCCCATGTCTTCGCACCCTTTATTCCTCCCCCAACTCCAGCAAAACAAACAAACCCAAAACAGTACACTTGTTGGCCTTGTTAGAATTGGGAAGCAGAGTGAGGACAGAATGTACTTGCAAACGGTATTTCTCCTCCTCCAAACTCAATTGCTTTGTTTACCTTTCAGGCATGCAGTTTGCAGAAGTTATTTGCTGTGGAAGAGGACTTTGAGGATGAGGTATGGAAGTGTTGGTGAACCCAGGCGGTCTTAAGATAAACGTCCAGGCCCGGAACATTTTGAAGCAGTTTCCCCATTTCCTTTTTACTTGATATGTACATTGTTTTTGGTCTGTGAGAGGCTGAGGAATGATGAGAAATGTAAACCTATTTAACTGTCTTCCAAACAAGTAAAAAGCCAGAGAGACGAGCTCCATGATGGTCATACTTTTAAGTGATAAGGGCCCTTGCCAAGAAGCTGTGTCTGTGGGTGATTTGATTCACCTTCTCAGTGACGCACTTGAGGGAGGGAGAATGGAGAGCCAGGGACGACAGAACTGTGGGAGGGCAGGAGGCCTGGGATCACCAAGGGCAAATTACTTTATTTTCTGGTGTTCCATTTTCTCTCCTGCAATATGCCAGGCATTCTTCTGCCTCAGATGTTCTTTCCTTCCCTGTCTCTCCTCCGAAGGTGAGGGATTAGACTAGATCAGAAGCTGGCACAGGAGAATCACCCCTGCTGAGGCCCTGGCACACGCCAATTAAATCATCATTTGGGGGGATGGACCCAGGCAGGGATGTTTCTAGCCTCTGGGTACAGCCAGAGACTAGTGAGCACTAAACTAGTGATCACCATAGCTCTCCTCCCACTTAGATCCAAAGGATGTAGTTTCATTTGGGGGGCAAAAAATGGCCACCTCAAATCCTTGTCACAAAGCAGTAGGATTTCAATGAGTAAAGCCTAAAAAGGTAAATTAACCTACTTAAAGAATAAAGCAGGGGCGGGATGGATATAAGAGGACTAAAAAAAAATACAAAATAAAGCACCAACAGCCAGGATGGGGTCTTGGTCCCCTGACTTGAGCCTCCCACATATGGAAACCACTGAACTGCATTTATAGAACAAAACTGCTGTATCTTATTGATGGTAAGCCATTCAAACCTACTTTTCCTCTCTTGGCTCATTGCTTTTAAAAAATTACATTTAGAATTTGTCCCAATGCCCAGTCTGTGCCGAGTATGATGGTGAAAGCTACATCAGGGGCCCTTCTGGCAGCCCCAACACCATACCCCCTTCCTTGGAGGCTTTTGGAACATGAGGCTTGAAAGGGGAAAAAACCACCTTTGTCAGACCTCTTTAAAAAATCAGTCCGTTCATTGAGGTCCTAAGACATAGTAACAAGGGCACATACAGCTTCTGGTGCTGGTTCTGTGAAGTTACTTAGCCTGTCTGAGTCTTAGTTTCTGCATCCAAAAAACAGGAATAATAACAGTGCCTATTCATAGGACCAGTGTGAGAATTCATTGAGAGAATTCTGGTAAAATGTTTACATGGTACCTGCCACCCAGTGAGATTTCAAATGTTAGATGTTTTTGTTATCACAGAGGGACTTGACTGTTATTTTTACAAATAACAAAACTGCCAGCTTTGTTGAGGAGCTGTGTCCTTGACTTTGTCCTTCAGCTTTCAAGATGTGTGATGATTACAGGCTGAGAAGTGGCTGTGTAAGGGACCCTCTTGGACCTCACTGGGTGGTGGTAGGACTGCTAGGCTAGTCATGAAATGAAGAGAGGAGGATTCTGACAGCTCACGTTTCAGTTCCATAACCAGTCCCTTCCCCTGTCCTCCTTCCCAAGTCAGGTAGCATCGTGTCTAAAAGTGCGCTCTTCCTAAGAAAAGAGATTCATCAACCCCTACGGTTATCAGGGTTTGATTATTGCCATAATTCTGATATTATTATTATTATTATTATTATTATTATTATTATTGCTAACTCCTAAGGCAGTGCTGCAGTTTGCTACTCTCCTGATGACACACAAAGCTGGAAGGAACCTCTCCCTAGCCCAGACAATCCAGCGCGACAGCGGGGCATGGGGGCTGTGGGGACCTTCCTGTCAGTTCAATCAGCAGTTCTGACTCAAAAACACCCTCGGAACAGGTCTGTTGCTCTCGAAGGTGTCAATCTCACCTTGCTTCCCAACTGGAATCCATCCTTAATTTAACTTGCCTGAAAAGCTATATTTAACTTCTGCCTATTAGGCCTCTCTGTCTTACTGAGGGTATGTGTGTGTGTGCGCACGTGTGCGCTGGGGGTGAGGAGTGGGCTGAGGACAAGCAGCACGACCAGCTGGACACCAAAAAGGTAGTCTTGTGACCATGGGTGATTTCTTTGACCCCTCGATGCCCTGGCACATTTTCTTCTCCAGCTGTTCCCCCAACGAGCCCCACTGCCCACCCCCCACCTCCCAGCCCCCACTTGAGCTTGAATAAAGACAGAGAAGCTACTTGAAGACTTAGCCTGGGAATGTTTCTGGTAGAAGCCTGCTGATGGGCTCATGGGCAAGGTCAAAGGAGGTGAGACTCCACCATTGCTTCTCCTGTGTTGGTTTCTTGTTTGTGTCTGTCTGCACATGTGTATACCACAGGCCTGAAACAGTAATAGCAGAGTGTTTCTTGATATCCCACTGTCTCTGCTTCTTTGCAGGATTTCTTATCTGCTGTGCAGGATGCAGAGAACCAGTTTGCTGGCTCAGGGCCTGTGAATGCTGGATGCCTGAGACCTGTCCCTTCCAGGGCACAAGAGACGGCGCAGGCACAGTCTTCTGGGCTGCTGCCATCATGTTCCACTGCTTCTTCAGAGGCTTTGGGCCTACCAAGCCTGGGACTCTGTCTTCCAACCTCCAGCATGCTCAGGGCCACCAGGGGTCCGCCTGCCACAGGAACAGGCCCCCTGAGGCCTGTCACTGCCGCCTGCAGCCAGACTGGCAATCAGAGGAGAGCGACACTGACAGAAGCGCCCAAAGAGCCAGCGAGACCCCAGTCCTCAGCCTCTTGCTTCCTGCTTCCCTTTGAGAGCAAACAGCAGGTGATTGGTAGCTTCAAGGGACCCAAACACGATGAATTCGATAAGGTCCTGGCAAGCATGGAGCTAGAAGGACCTGGCATGGAGCTGGAACTTGGAGTTAACAGTGAGGCCACTGGAATTCTACCCACCAGGCAGCGGGAAGACTTAATATTGGCTAAAAAGGCTCGGATAGCCGGGCTGAGCAGCTCTTGCCAAAAGGGGCCTGTGCCTGCCGTCCACATGACTGGTATCACACCAGCCCAGGACCAGTCTCCAGATCTTCTTGTCTCTTCTAGGAGGACCTCTAGGTCCCCACAGCCCCACGTGAGACCTGGTGCCGTGGGTAACCTTCCTCCCCCGCCTGCCTCGACAGTTCCTGCTCAGCAGCCCCGCTGGGAAGCCTGTCCCGGAGCTTCCCCACTTCGAGGACCCCCACCTCTTCCAGCTGCTGGAAGGCCTGTTCAGAGTAGCCCTCAAAATCGTGCCCCCTGTCAGTCATTCCAGTCTCCAAATGCCCACTTAAGTGGCCAGCCCAGTTTTCTACGAACTCCCAACTCAAACTATTCTACTCCCTCCAGGGCTGTCTCTGGATTTTTCCCTCGGGGGCCTTTACAACCCCAAGCTCCAGTGTCTTCTGTTGAATCTCCTGTTGGCACCCCCAAGGGCCCTCACTCCCCCCTGGTTCCCCAAGCAGCTCTGCAGATGCCCATAGTCACCAATCACCTGGTACAGCTGGTCACTGCCGCCAAACGCACACCCCAGCACCCGACACGCACTGCCACCCGCGCCAAAACACGCCGCTTCCCAGGCCCAGCAGGGATCCTACCTCACCAAGTGAGTGGCAGCTTCTCCCTGGCAGAAGCCAGGGCCATCCGGGATGTTTGGGGGGCAAAGGAAAGAAGCAGGGTTCCAGCACTGTCTGGTCCCAGAATATCTCCACTCCTGGGGAAGTAAAGGGAGGAAGTGCAGATGGGGAGGGTCTTCAAATCTGTGGAAGAATCAAAAGAAGGGGGAAGGAAGAATTGAACGCCTGAAAAACCACACAGGAGAAGGGTGCTTAACTTCACAGTCTCCATACGTTTGTTGCACACCACCTGTCTGCTAGCACCAGGTGGGGATGTTCACTCATATTCACTAAGTTGGGCAATTTACTTGGAACTGAGAATGCAGATGAAAATAGCAGTAGTCCTGTCTTAAGGAGCGTCTAGTAGAAGAAGCAGATGCAAACAAACGATTGTATATGAAATGCACAGTGTGGGTAGAGGCCATTTCCTGGGTGCTGAGAGGCCCTGGGCTCCTTGGGCTTGCTGAGTGGGCTTTGGATGGACACGTGGGAGGTTAACAGGTTCGGGTGTTGGAAGGCTGGACTCAGTGGGAAGACAGGGAAGAGTATGCGCACAGGCACAGAGGCCGAGGAGCAGGACGTTCTTAGAGCCACAGAACCGTTCATTGTGACTGGCGTGTAGAGTCCTCACGGGGAAGGAAGCTGGGGCTGTGCTGGGAGTTTGGATCTCAGCAGACTGTGGCAGGTGCACCCCTTTCCTAGCATTTTGAAGGTGTTTGGAACAGTTTCTCCTTGTTAGTTCCTCTTCCCTAGCTCTTCATGAGAAATCCAAGGAGGCCACCTACTTTCTTCCTGGGCTGGATCTCTGTAGGGAAGGGTTAGGTCCCTGAGAAGGGGCTTGGCCAAAGCCGGCCTTTTGCATATCACAGGCCTTTCTATTTAGGTCATTGCCCACTTCTGGAAGCTCTGGGTCTTGCTCCTGGGCCAGCTCCAGCTTCCTCACATTCCCAAAATGATCCCCAAAGCGTCTTTTTTTAAGCTGCCAACAAGCTCCTGAGACTTTGTTAGGAGAGATGTAATATGTGTTAATTGTCCCTGATAGTTTCTTGAACTTGTTATGTAACCCAGACAACAGGCTGCGCTTGTAAATAACAGGCACCGAGCTTGCTCTCACCTTCTCTCTCCCCTTGCAGCACAGTGGGAAAAATCTGGAGGAGATCATGGTTTCCACACCCCACACACCAACTCACGGTGCTCTGGCTAAATTCCAGACAGAGGTAACTAACTCTGTGCACATGGTAACGTCCTGGGCGTCATTTAAGAGTGAGGGACATACCAGCGTGTTTTAGGAGTTAAGAATCAGAGTCGATGCTACACTAGGCCTGTTCCCTGGGGTCACACACCAACCAAATGGCTCATGGGGAAGGCAGTTTGGGGAGGTGGCGAATTTACTGGCACGAAGTGAAGCGTATCCTGATGCCAGGCAGGTGGTAACCGATCCAGGAGCCTTTCCCATCTGAGGAAGGCCCAGCCAACTCCACCTTTTCTTGGGAGAGGAGTGTAAGTGTTAGGAACTTGTATCTCAGGGGTCCGTCTCAGGTTTCTGGGAATCAAGCTGAGAGGGATTTTCCAAGTCTCATACAAGAAAGGAGCATGGATAGCCTTTTGCTGCAATGTAATTACAGTCAGGACCTGACTGAAAAGGAAACGAAGAGTACCTTTGCTATCACTGCTAAGTGCGATGTGATGTCATATGCAACAAGACCTCACACGCCATTTTCTGACCTTGGAGATAAATGGGAGGAAACGCTGCCGCCACAGACGTGCCCTTTCCCTCACACACCCCCACCCCGCTCGGTCAGGGTCTGTAGCAGGGCGGACCCGTGCACGAAGGCTCCCCTCTGCTCTCTGGTGCCAGATTGGCACTAGTTCCCAGGCATCGGTGGAGGACGATTTTGGGCGAGGGCCCTGGCTGACCATGAAATCTGCTCTGGGCCTGGATGAGAGAGACCCCGCCTGCTTCCTCTGCACCTACAGCGTCGTCATGGTGCTGCGGAAGGTAAGGGTTCTGGGTGCTGAGACTCAAAAGGAAGCCCATTTTTATCCTCTTCACCAGCCCTCGGCCCTCCTCCACCTTAGGAGTGGGGCTTCTGTTTGCCCTCTGACTGCAGGCCTTTTTCTGAATGGCGGCGTGAAGTCCCTTCAGTGTATCTTCCCCTCGCCCACCTGTCCACTGCACCCCGCAGTGCTGGGCACAGGCCGAAGGAGTAACTGTGTTATGGGCATGTCTCTGCACATCCGGGCCCTGGGTGGGGGCGGGGGGTGAGCACACTGCTACCCTTAGAGTTCCCCAGAGGTCAGGGGTCATGTGCAGACATGTGTCAGTACATGTGTTAACACAGCCTTGGCCGTGGCCTGCCATGATAGAGAGCTCTGTGTAGATACACAGACAAAAGAAAGGCAGGGGAAGAGAGATGAAGGTCTGCCTGAAGAAGATCAGGTGAACTCTTGAAACTGCCTCTTTGCCCTCCACGAAGGACAGAGGACAGTCATTATCACCCCTGAACTCTGCCCCCGGCCCCCCACACTGCCCCCCTACCTCCCAGTTTGCCCTGGAACACATGGGAAACACAGCTGGGACATGGCTGGCTCAGCAAATGCCTCTCCTTGCAACCAGGCAGCCCTGAAGCAGCTTCCCGGGAACAAGGTCCCCAGCATGGCAGTCATGATCAAGTCCCTGACTCGGAGCACGATGGATGCCAGCGCAGTCTTCAAGGACCCCACAGGTGAGGAGTTAGGTCCTGGGAGTATCTGATGAGGGGTCTTCACCTCCAGGAAGGAGATGAGGGGTCACCCTCTCTGTTGGTAGTTGGGAAAATTGAAATAGCCCACTTCCCAGCCAGGGCTCTAACCAGTCACTGTGCTGCCCTTGACCCTGGGACTGATGGGCCATGTGGTATTTGCAGGAGAGATGCAGGGCACGGTGCACAGGTCGCTGCTTGAGACGCGCCAGAATGAGCTGAAGCCTGGCTCAGTGCTGCTGCTCAAGCAGGTATGGGGAGCTGCTCTCCGCCACCCTCCCATGCCCTGGAGGGTGCTCCCCGAGCTGTGTGTGTGTGGCTTCTTCCCTCCCAGTGCTCAGGCAGTGAGTGATGGTGGGCTGGTGCTGGGCCCTGGCTTCCTGCAGCTGAGTGGAGACCTGAACCGATCCTCTGGGGGTGGGGGGTGAGGGGGGTTTGCGCTGGGCAGGTAGGAGGATGTGTGTGGTGAGTGGTCCCACTCTGACTCCAGGGCTGAGGCAGGAGCGATTCAGCCCTGGAGTCAGAGTGCGGCCCTGGTGCAGAGGCCACCAGGGGAGAAACAGGCGGGGACAGGTGGCCATGGAGCAGCACCTAGTGCTTCATCAGGGCACTGATTTTCCCTTCCTTGAGTCCAGATTGGGGTGTTTTCTCCTTCGCTCCGAAACCACTACCTCAACGTGACGCCCAACAACCTGGTGCGTGTTTACAGCCCAGACGCCGGGGAGGGGAGCTTCCTCCGGCCGGCTCAGCCCTCCCCCAAGGTAAGAGGAGCAGGTGGAATGGGGACTGGTAGTGCCTCTTTCTGCCTGGATCTTCTGGCTTCTTCCCTCCTCCACCCTGATCGGAAGAGATACCTTTCGAGGAAGGGCCACCTCCTCCTGTCCCTAGTCCAGCTGCCTGCCAGGTGGCATAGTAACAGGACCTAGAGGAACAGCTGGCTTCTTGGTGATCCCTGAGAGTCAGGTTGGAACACTGGAAAGGATAGGAGTCCCTTGAGAACTAACCAAGTGAGGGTCCATCGGGGGTGGTGGCCCTCCTTAAGTGACCGAGGGTCAGATCTACCACAGGTGGCAGTGCAGAGAACAGTGAGCTATGAATGGCCTGTCAGGTGGGCCAGCACTTGCTCTTCGTCCTTGCTAAGTGAGGGGACCCCCATACAGAACTCGGGTGGGGACGCCCCCCTTTGAGGGAAACTGGGCTTCCAGGCAGCTCCACTCCAGGGTGAAAATGCAGAGCCTGGGCTGGGCTTGGCAGACAGCGTCTCCCCTGTGGCCACCCCCACCCCTCCCGGGATCCTGGGCTGGGGTCGTGGCCTGGCCTGGGGGTCAGGAGACCTGGCTCACTCTGCTAGTAATTTGTAAGGTGACCCCGGCGAGTCCTGTCTCTTCCCCAGCTGCTGCTTCATCTAGAAAACAGGTGGGTTAGAACCGATGACTTCTAGTCAAGCTACACGTTTAGCTCCAACTTGCTACTTCCATTTCCCGCATCTTTCTGCTTAACTTTCCACATTCTCCCACAAGCATGCCACTTCAAAAAATCATCTTCAGCCCTGGCTGGTGTGGCTCAGTGGATTGAGTGCGGGCCTGCGAACCAGAGGATCGAGGTTCAATTCCCAGTTAGGGCACATGCCTGGGTTGCAGGCCAGTTCCCAGCAGGGGACCCACAAGAGGCAACCATACATTGATATTCTTTCCCTTTCTCCTTCCTTTCCCCTCTAAAGATAAATTTTTTTAAATCATCTTTATTTTTCTTTTAAATTTCAAGTAATTTATACTCATTGAAAAAAATTGAAACGGTACAGAATAAAGGAAAACATGAAACCTAACCTCTCCACTCCCATTTCCCAGAGCTAACCATGCTTAACAGTTTAGTTACTTATCTTAATTACCTATCTATATATTAGCTAGTTTGGGGATTGACACTAAATCTTTTTAAAGCAATTTTTATTTATTGACCTGGCTGGTGTAGCTCAGTGGATTGAGTACCTCCGGTGGTGCCTGCCTGAGAACCAAACGGTTGCCGGTTCCATTCCCAGTTAGGGCACATGCCTGGGTTGTGGGCTAGGTCCCCAGTAGGGGGCGCTCAAGAGGCAACCACACATTGAGGTTTCTCTCCCTCTCCCTTCATTCCCCTTTCTGAAAATAGATAAAAATCTTTTAAAAATTATTTATTGATTTAGAGAGAGGAAGGGTGGGGAGAGAGAGACAGAGAAAGACACATCAATTTGTTGTTCATTGATGCATTCATTTGTTGATTCTTGTATGTGCCCTGACTGGAGGTCAAACCCGAACGAAACCTTGGCATTACCAAGATGAAGCTCTAATCAACTGAACTACCCAGCCTGGGCAACAGCTACTTCTTAATCCCAGTCTCACTCCTCAACATATTTCTGAATGGCCCCTTTACTCCCTCCTCCAGTTACATAGATTCCCTGAAATAGCAGATAAAAGTATAATTAGGAAAAAAAACAGCCAAAAGGTTTTGTGTTTTTAATTAGCAGCTGTTTTGGATGTCTAGTGTTTCAGCTCCCTCCCTGCAGCGTGGGCCTAGGTAGCTGGTCCCTATCACATTCCTCCGTCCTGTCTTTACTGAGCCCCCACCTATTCCCTTGAGGTTGTCTGGGTGGAGACAGGGAGACAGTACTGTGCAGAGGGGCTTCAGGGGCACAGGCATTGGTAACCAGATCCTCTGTCCCCAGGATCCAGGTGGCTTCCATGGCAGCCTCCAGCCGGAGACCGCGAAGCCCAGGAAAGACCTTGGAACAGCACAGAACCCAGAGGCAGGGACATCCCCCAAAGAACTCCCAGACGCAGGTAAGGCAGTCAGACCACCCAGGAGCAAAAGAAATTCTCCTGTTCTGGCTGGTGTGGCTCAGTAGATTGAGTGCCAGCCTGTGGGCTAGCACAGGCTTTGGTCCCCATTTGGGGGCATGCGAGAGGCAACCGAGCGATGCATCTCTCTCACACATTGATGTTTCTCTCCTCGCTTTCTCTTCCCCTCTCTCTAAGAGTGAACTAAATGTTTTAAAAATTAAAAAAGAAAAAGCAATTCTCCTTCTATTTCCTCTTGGACTTTCTCAGCCAGATTCTTCTGGCTGCATCTCATTTCTCCCGTGAACCTTGGATCTTATGGAATCTTACAGAAATCAGACCTGGGCTCTTCTCTGGTGAACTTGCAGGCCACAGACTGATTAATGGTGTTACAGGGGCCACAGCACAGTGTGATCCACTGGTCTCCTCCACATCCAGGCCATGTACTGTGAGCCGCAAGGAGGAGGTAGACTGACCCCATCCTCCTGCCACACCTGGGGTCTTCTGTGGGCGATGGCAAGAGCACAGAGGCAGATGTTCCCATCCCAACTGAGCTCAGAGGCCCTCCAGGCAGTGCTGGGAGTCGAGTCCATGTGGTTAGGGCGGGGCCAGGATACAGATCTGAGAGGCCCGAGCACAGAGGTCCCGAGGGAAGACCCGCTTGTGCCTCAGGAGGCAGCACCGCCCCGGTGAAGTGGACACAGTCCAGGTCTTGTCCTGCGCCTTTTGATTCCATAAATTCAACTCTGTCTGGCCCCGGAGTTCCTGGGATTATAGGTAGGCATCTCCACATTAAGCAAATTCACAGTAGACCGAGTGATAAACCACAAAGCCCTTGTAATTATATCCTGTGGGAAGGTGTCCCTTGTGCTGGAGTCTTCTCTGGAAACTTGCCCTCTCTCCTTGTCAGTAAGCTTGATGACAAGCGAAGCCATCACAGAAGGCTGCTGGGGGCCATGGAACAGGAGGGAGGAGAGTTGCCTGCAGAATGTTGCAGCTGGTGTCATATCTCCACCGCAGGGACAGACCTGCGAGGCAGACGCTGCTAGTGGTGGCCAAACAAGGCCCGGAGACACAAATACTCATTCTCACTGATCCCCTGTTCTGAACTGCTCATTTCCTGTCATTTAACCTAGCGTTTCTCCAAACAGTCACAATGTAGCTAATGAGGGGCAACTGTTATTGTTACAATTGCATTCCAGTCCTCCTTCCCTGAGAACAGTTGCCATTTGCCCTCATTAAGTTTGGAGGGCCCCCAAACTAGTCTGTCCTAGCAGCATGGTTTGTCAAGGGTGCCGGTGCAGACGGGGAGCTCGGCCCTGCAGGTGTTGCTCAGATTCCACCCACTGGGCAGGAGGTTCTGTTAGAAGCTGTGACTGTGGCATCAGATGGAGCCTAAGTGTGCTCGCCCAAGCAAGTGGTCTGACCTCTTTAAACCATGTTCATTCTGGTAAGAGTGGGGTTATAACAGGAACTACCATGAGATGCCCTGTGAAGGGGTGCTGTGAGCCATGAACCAAGTGATAAGTGGGATTTTATGCGGTGGCCCTGTGCCCCGCACAGAGCCAGCACTCAGTGAGTGTTAGCTGCTGCTAACAAGGATAGGAGCACAGGGATTACTGAACTCAGCCCGGCTTCCAGATTCTCAGACACAAGACCTGCCTGAGGACCAGCCAGAAACTGTTTTATTCCCTAGGCCCACAAGGGCACTTTGGGGGAGGGGATGATGTCTCCCAGTTTCCAGGCGAGAAGCCAGATTCATGCACTGTGGGATTCCGAGTGCATCCCACCGCTGTCCCCAGCCTTGTTTCTCCCGCCGTCCAGTGAGAGGGTTGCACCAGGGGACCTCTGACGCCTTCCTGCTCAGGCGTCGTGCCTGTGGATGGAAAGTGAGGAACCACCGAGGCCCAAGGGAACGCTCTTAGCAGAACGGCCCTGGCATGTTGCCCCTGCCTCCTGTCACGTGTGGGTCTGTGGGGAGCAGAGGGAGGATGGGGGTCAGGCCAGCATCAGGCCTACTGGCCCAAGCACTGATGCCTGGGAGAGCCACTTCCTGATGGGGCCACCAGGCCCAGACCCTCCTAAAAGGCAGGAGCCTTAGACTGGAGTCACCTGCAGCCCTGATGTTGTCACTCAGTCTGCCCACCCTCTCCATCCCCCCACAGATGACCTGGATGGGCTCCTGAGTGAGCTCCCTGAGGACTTCTTCTGTGGGAGCAGCAGTTGGGACCGCCCCCAGGCGGGGCACCCACCGTGAGCAGGCGAGGCTCTGGTTGTGTCTGGTCATGCCCACGCGGAAGGAAGACGGCGTGATTGGAGAACAGGCAGAGCTCAGGACTTCTGAGGTTGCTCCCCCACTGATGCTGTCCCCGAGAACACCCTCATCCCTTGGAATCTGCACCGCCGTCACTGTGGGTCTTCTTCGGCCTTCCAGAACTCAGCCCTGCTGTCCCCCAGGCCCTGGGGCACGGCGTGCTCCTCCTGTCAACAGCGAAGGTGTGCTGCTCTCCCACCTCGTCTTGACTTCAGGGGACACTGGGACTGGTCCCTTTACACCCCAGCCCCTGTACAGCTGGGGGTGGAGGACCCACACCCGGCAGTGGTGATCCGTCCCTTGGACAGGGGAGGAGCACTCAGACTTCCCTCCACTTTGTCTCTTGAGGCCTGTAGCTGCCCAGTTCCCCTGTGTCCAAGGTGTGGGGCAGGGGCATGGCAATGACACCTTGTTCGGAAATAAAGCGGCTGCCTGCTCACCTGCTTTCCTCCCCGTCTTGGCTGCTCCTTCCTGTTCATCCTGCTGCTGGTGCCTTGACCGCGCAGAGCCAGGCCACTCGTTCTTTTTTTAAAAGATTTTATTTATCTTTAGAGGGGAAGGGAAGGAGAGAGGGAGAGAAATATCCATATGTGGTTGCCTCTCGTGCATCCCCTGCTGGGAACTGGCCTGCAACCCAGGCATGTGCCCTGACTGGGAATTGAACCACGATCCTTTGGTTTGCAGCCATGCTCAATCCACTGAGCTACACCAACCAGGGCTCTCTTTTTTTAAATAAATTTTTTCTTATAGACAATTTCATATTTACAGAACTACTACAAAAATATTACAGGAGTTCCCACAATACCCCTGCACAGTTTCCCCTCTTATTACTATCTTACATTGGTATGGTCGCTTTGTCACGATTAAAGAACCAGTGCTGCTGTATGATTATTAACCGGACTCCAGACATCGTTCGGATCTCGGTTTTCTCCAGCTGGCCCGTCTCTGCTCCAGGCAGGATCCCTCATCACAGGTGGTTATTGCATCTCTTTGGGCTCTTTTTGTCACTTTGTCTCAGACTTTCCTTGTCTGAGGACCTGGACAGCTTTGAGGAGTGCAGCTCGGGCATGTGGTCGGGGGCCCCTCTCCTGGAATTTATCTGCTGGGTGTTTTTTCATGATTAGACTAGGGTTGAATGTTTTGGGAGGAAGACCATAGAAGTAAGGTACTATTCTCATCATGTCATGTCAAGGGCTGATGTTGGCCATGGTCACCTGGCTGACCCAGGGCTTGTCAGGCTCCCCACTGTGAAGCTGTCCTTGTCCCTTCCCACACTGCCCTCTTTGGGGGAGTCACTGTGTGCGGTGGGCAGGAGGAGTCACAAGAATGTTCACAGAGGCTATATGGGGTTCTGCGTGGGGCATTGGCCTGTTCTCCTTCATCTTTAAATTTTTTTAAATATATTTTATTGATTATGCCATTACAGTTGTTCTATTTCCCCTCCTTCATTCCCCTCCACCCTGCACACCCCTCCCCCACCATTCCCCCCTTTAGTTTATGACCATGTGTCTCAAGTTCTTTAGATTCTATATTTCCCATACTATTCTTACCCTCCCCCCTGTCTATTTTCTACCTACCATCTATGCTACTTATTTTCTGTACCTTCTCCCCCCTTCTCCTTCTCCCACTCCCCTGTTGCTAACCCTTCATATGATCTTCATTTCTATGGTTCTGCTCCTGATCTAGCTGTCCTCTTAGTTTGCTTTTGTTTTAGGTGTGGTTCTTAATAACTGTGAGTTTGCTGTCCTTTCACTGTTCATATTTTTTATCTTCTTTTTCTTAGGTAAGTCTCTTTAACATTTCATATATTAAGGGCTTGGTGATGATGAACTCCTTGAACTTGATCTTATCTGAGAAGCACTTTATCTGCCCTTCCATTCTAAATGAAAGCTTTGCTGGATAGATCAATCTTGGATGTAGGTCTTTGGATTTCATGACTTGGAATACTTCTTTCCAGCCCCTTCTTGCCTATAAGGTCTCTTTTGAGAAATCCATTGACAGTCTGATGGGAACTCCTTTGTAGGTGACAGTCCCCTTATCTCTTGCTGCTTCTAGGATTCTCTCCTTCATTTTAATCTTGGCTAATGTAATTACGATATGCCTTGGTGTGTTCCTCCTTGGGTTCAACTTCTTTGGGACTCACTCAGCTTCCTGGATTTCCTAGAAGTCTATTTCCTTTGCCAGATTGGGGAAGTTCTCCTTTATTATTTGTTCAAATAAGGTTTCCACTCGTGGCTGTTCCTCTTCCCCTTCTGGTACCCCTATAATTCAGATGTTGGAGCGTTTAAAGATGTCCTGGTGGTTCCTAAGCCTCTCCTCATTTTTTGAATTCTTGTTTCTTCATATTTTTCTGTTTGGTCATTTTTTTCTTCCTTTTGGTCCACTCCTTTGATTTGAGTCCCAGTTTATTTTCCATCACTATTGCTTCCCTGTGCATTTCCCTTCATTTCAATTATTTAGCCTTCATTTGTTCCTCTAATTTGTGACTAAAATCAACCAGTTCTGTGAGCATCCTGATCACCAGTGTTTTGAACTGTGCCTCTGATACGTTGGCAATTTCTTGTTCTCTTAGATTTATGGGCTCTGGGGCTCTGAGTTGTTCTTGAACCATGTTTTGATCTGTTTGTGCCTGTTACGTATGAGGAGCAGAGCCTTAGGTGTTCACCAGTGCGGGGCCACCAAGGTGGTTTGTGATGCTATATGTGGGGGCGGGGTCAGAGAGGGAGCAATAGCGGTCCCCTCTTCTCCTTCCCGCAGCTGGGGCCTGCCCAGTCTGTCTCACTGCTTGCTCCTTCGCTGGTTTATCTGTGGGCAAATGTGTGACCACGGTCAGCCAGCCACCTTTCACCTTCACTGGGTCTGCCCGTTGCTACCCCACACCTGGGATTCACCCATGGCTGCCTGTGCCTGGGTCGGGGGATTTTTTTTGCCTGATCAGTTCCACTGCTGGCTCTGCCCCTCTTACCGGCCTAGCTGAGTGGTTTCTTGTTGTTGGACTCCCGTATTGCTCAATTTTCTGTGGTTTGGCTGTGTTTTTTGTTGCTAAAACTTTGTTGTTTTTAGACTTGGTTGTGTGAGAAGGCACAGTGTTTCCACCTATGCCTCCATCTTGGTGGAAGTCCTCATTTTTTAAATAAAAAAAAAACGTGTTAAATTTTTTTTTAGAGAAAGAGAAACATCAATGTGTGGTTGTTTCTCATGTGCCCCCTACTGGGGACCTGGCCCATAACCCAGGCATGTGCCCTGACCAGGAATCAAACTGGTGACCCTTTGGTTTGCGGGCCGGCACTCAATCCACTCAGCCACACCAGCCAGGACTCCTTCACTTTTTATTTATTCATTTATATCAGTATGGGTGCGTGGGCATTTATTTTATGCTTTGAGTTATAATCTAATACTTTATTTTGTTGCCAAGCAACTCTTGGTCACTGTCGCTTCTCTATACCACCTTTCAGACCAGAGTTAGACAAGGGGCCTGGGTGGGGTGGGGTGTAAAAGATCTGATAATACCAGTGGGCAAATTTGTCTTTTCTGAAAAGAAGGGAAGAACGAAGATTCTCTCAGCTGGTGGACGAGGGGGTGTGGATTAAGGCTCTCGTTTGATTAGCAGTCTCCCCTGCTTCTGCCTGTCTTCACTAAGCAGCTGTGAGTTAGTCAGGACCTCTCACGGGCTTGGCACTGTTCTGGGCAAAGGTGTTAACCCCCCTTTTCCCAAAGAGGGACGATCCCATGGGTCCATCTCAAGGCTGAAGTGAAGAAGCTTTAAGAACTCCGTGCTCCGTCAGCTGCTGGTTGCAGCAGGGCCCTGTTCTAGAAGGCTTTTGGGTTCTAAGCCTAGGAGCAAGAAAAGGGCTAGTTCACCAGCACCCTACTTACCCTCCATGTCCCATTCGGCCTTTCTACCTGAGCAGACTATGCTTTTTTTCCCTCCACCCGCCGCGAACTCCCCAGCTCCGCCTTTGTAGCTTAGATCGGGGCCATGTGGTTTTCCTGCACCTAAACCACCCCATTTCCCTGGCTCACAGTGCCCTTTCCCATTCAACCCCCTTGATCCCTGGTCTCTACTGCTCTCCCGCCCAAGGACTAGCCAGTCCTGACTCTGCTTAGTGTCCAAGATCAGAGGAGACTGGGCACGTTCTGGGAGGTGTGGCCGTAGACTGGTCTCCTGCTCACAGTCCTGACTGACGCCCTGGTCTCTGGTGGTGCAGTGCATTGCCCATGGGTTCCAGACTCCGGGAAGTCAGGCTGAGTGTCCAATCGCCTGGCACTGCTGCCAGTAGACCTGGGCTCCCTGTGGGCTCGAATGTGGGTTGGAGAAAGGCCTCGGGAACTTAACACTAGGACAGTTTTTCTGCCCTCAGGAAATTAAGGCTAAAGACAGAAGACAGAACACATGGTCTCTCTGGGGACTGAGCTGTAGTCAGAGCCCCTTCAGGCCTGGGTGACAAAAGGTGACACACAGGCTGGGGAGATCAGCACAATCACGGGCCCCACATGCCATGCCTATTGTGTGCCTCAGGAGGGAGGGGACGCCCACCCCAGCTTGCCAGCTCCCAACCCTGGGAACCTAGCTGTGGGTGCTCAGCCAGGCTGTGGGCGGGGCAATTAAAACGCCGGGCGGGTTCCAACAGGGTTAATCACTGCTGCCTGCATAGAGGCGCCTTTCTCTGAGGATGGCAGAACCTTCGCTGTGTGTGACCTCATGCCTCCTCTGGGGTCCCCCACCCTGGAGCACCACGGAGAAGCTGGCCGGAGTTGGCGCGCACAGCAGGGTGAGGGCAGTGCCGAAAACAGCCCAGGCAGCTGCCACCCACTTAGGCAGGCACATGAGTGTTTGCCTTGGCAGAGACCGGCAGCCCTTGGTCAGCACACTACACCTATGAGGTGAGGCTGCTCTGCACCCAATGCCCCTAAACGCCACATGCCCTCAAGACCTACTGTGCACCAGGCCATGATGGGACAAGAGACTTAACTGAATAAATACAGAGCCCCCTCTGGAGCCCACACCCTGCACAGTGGACTGTCGACTGCAGGACACTGGGACAGGTGCTTTACAAAGTACATGCACGGGAGTGGCTGGAACCGGGAGACAGGGGGACCTGGGGCTGCTGCAGGGTGTTTTCCAGAGCCGGTGACCTTTGAGGAATGAGTCGGAAGCAAATTCCAAGCAGAGGGCAGGGCAGGGCGAGGAGCTACGGTGAGAAAGCTGTGTGACCAGAGGCCAAACCAAGGACCCGGAGCTGAGTTGGAGAGGGGAAGTGCCTGAAGTCAGCAGAAGTTTGCAAGCTGGGAATTAATCATTTTAGTTAGATCATTCGATTTAGGCAGTGAAGTAGTGGGGGCGGGGGGGGGGGAGGCAAGGAAAGAACACCAGGTAGGAGGCTGGGCTGGTCTGAGATGAAAATGTTGAGGTGGTGACTGAAAATGTGGATGTGAGGGCTTAACTGGTTTGTGTGAGGGGCCAGGGAGAGGAAGAAGTCGGAGATAACGGGCAGGGGCTGCTGCAGAGCCAGGAGGGGAGGGTGTGCAGGGGCAGAGGAGCCAGGCAGAGCCTCCAGGGCTGAGGGACACAGACCAGCCACTGCAGTCAAGGCAGGATGGGGCTAGGCCTGTCCTGAGGGGCCACCCACTGGCACGCTGAGTGAGCTCCCAGACTGGGAGAGCTTTGGAGGCACCAGCTGGCATCCCTCCTGCTCCCCTTCCCTGGCTTGGCAGCCACCACAGCTCATGTTATTTCACGGCCTCATTCCTCCCCCTAGAGGCTCCTGGAAGCACAGCAGCTCTCTCCCCAGCGCAGGGGCTCCTGGCTTAAAAGGTCTCTTTGGTGGGAAGACCCCAGAGTTGCAAGGTCAAGTCCTTGGTCCTCAGGCAGGCAGGAGAGCCCTTTTAAAGGAGCTGGGGTCAGGTGGAGGTGGGGCACTCACTGGAAGTGGTATCTAGAGACCGTGTTGCCTTGCTTGGAGGGTGGGGAGAGGCTCACAATGGTCTTTGCCCTCAGGTGGCCACAGCAGCTAGAGCCAAAGTGCAACACCATCTGCGGAGCCAGGCCAGAGGGGTCCTAGTCCTGGCTCCACCCCTCACAAGCCGTGACCTTGAGCAGACAGTTTTACCTTGTTAAGCCTTAGTTCCTCATCGGTAAACAGACATAAGACCACCCGTCTTAGACATGTTCAGGACTGATTCTATACTTTATTGTCAACACCAGTTGTTTATTATTTATGTGGGTGAACCAACAAGTAAAGATGGATATAAAAGTGATTTAAGTCCTGGCTGGTGTGTCTCAGTGGATTGAGCACTGGCCTGTGAACCCAATGGCTATGGGTTCGATTCCCAGTCAGAGCACACGCCTGGGCTGTGGGCCAGATCCCCAGGTGGGGGCAGTAGAGGCAACCACACATTCATGTTTCTCTGCCTCTTTCTCCCTTCCCCTCTGTCTAAAAATAAAATAAATAAATAAATAAATAATTTTTTCAAAGTGAGTTAAATATTGTTAAGCCCTGTGCGTATGTGTGCAGAGCTATTGCTAATACCGCAGATGCTAGGAAGAGCTGTTTGAACTGTCTCTACCTGCCCTTCTCTCCAGGGCTGGAGTCTGCCCTCCAGCCAACATCAGAGAGGCTGGGAACTCTGGCTCTTCCTCTCTGCCCTGTCCATCTTCCTGACTGACAGCTTCACTCACCTCAGACCTGCCAACCAGGATTCTCACTCCTGAGAAGTGGGAGGACTGGGACCCTGCGGTGCAGGCAGCCTGCTGCCCAATTGGACCGCATCAGCTGGGGCAGAGGCACGGGGGCAGGCCCTACCCCTGGGTGGCTGGGGGGTGGGCTCACACCTTCTCTGCACCGGGATCGGGACTCCGGGCAAATGTGTTTACCGGAGAGCGAAGAGCCTATTTATAGCCTCAGCTGCTGCTCGCCCTGGATCACGGGGGAGGGGGCAGGGTGGCTCCTCGGAACAAGGGTGGTAGTCACCAGGCTCTGCCCAGCTGCCACTGGCCGGTCCCTGCACCCCTTCCCATGGCCAGAGAGACCTTCCCCTCTACCTCGTCCACGCTGCGCTCTCTCCGCCTACAGCGGGAGTGGCTGGAGTGGGAGGACCGGCGCCGGGCAGCAGCCCAGCGGTGCCGGGGTCCGAGGTGCCCCCCGAGTTCCAAGGCCCGACTCACAAGGCCCCGCCACTCTTGCCGAGACCCGGCGGTCCACAATGCCCTGTTCTCTGGCGACCTGCAACAGGTTCAAGCCTTGTTCCAAGATGAAGACGCCGCCAACATGATTGTGGAGACCGTGAGCGACCAGCTGGCCTGGTCGCCGGAACAGGGTAGGGAGCGGCAGGTGGGGGCGGAAGAGGAGGGAGAGGGAAGACGCGCGGGTCGGGGGAGGGGGACATCTCCGCCCCATCCCCTCCCTCCAGAACATGAACTACACTGTTGCTTCCCACTGCCCAGTCTAGCTCCCTCCTGAACAGAGATGAGGCGTGGGTAGTGAATGGTTCGTCCGTTTCATCAGAATTAAAGTGATTTAACATATTATATTAACTACGTAGGAACGCAATTACATTCTAATGCAATTTTCTATGAATATATATCCACACATGAATATTTTCCACAGAAGTATTATCATCAATATGCTATTTTATAACCTGATTTTTTTCACGGACCACATGTCAATAACCATAAGTAGATATAACATTTTATACAGGGGCATAAATTCTGCTGTGTGGAGTATGCATGATTCATAGAACTAGTCTACTTGGGGGCCTACACTGGGCTCCTTCTTCAAAGACTATTTTAAATCACAGTGTGATGAGCATCTTTGAGTACTTGCCAGCCGATTTCCATAGGATCCACTCTGACCGGAGGATCTGTCCATGTAAACCAATACCTCACTTCGGACTGCCCCCTTTAATTGACAAGAGACTGCCTCCAACACTGCTCATGGGCTTGAGGGTTCAAAATCCTTGGAGAGCGTGTGTTCTCGCGGTCACCACAAGCTCCAAATTCCTGCTTGTCTTCAATTATTAGAGCTGTGACCTCACCCAAAACATCTGGTCTCGTCCTGCAGCATGTCCATCATCTCTCAAATGGCCCTTGGCCTTATTTCAATTCTAATAATAAATAAAACGTGCTTTACCCAGGAGTTAGGAAACCCAGGACTTACTTGGCCACGACGCAGACAACTGACAGTGGGATACTGGGCATCTGTGCCCTTTAAACGGGTCCTCGGCTGTTTCCGCAATTTGGGTCCGGCACCAGCACCACGGCTGTACCCTCTCACCCCTCTTCCTTTCCCTCCCCCACCTCTCACTATCTCCTTCCAGCCTTCCCCCACCCTCCCCACCCCGACAGTATCCTAGAACTCCAAACTCAGGCTCCTTCATCTCTGCTCACTGGCTGCTTCCGAGCTTAGCTCCAGGACCCTGTTCCTAACTCTCCCCCATCCCCAACACCGCACTCCCGGCGGAACCAAAAGAAGCAAGAACTCCATCAGCAGCTCAAAGACCCAGAGGTTTCCTGAACGGGATTCCCCTTCCTTAGTTGCCCTTACGGTTTTAAAGAGCAACTAATTTTATTTCTGTGACTCACATAGTGTGTTTTGTTACAGATTGCGACAAACTGTTCTAAAAGTCTGTTCTGATTTCCACTCCCAAATCTGGGTTTGAATGAGCCCCTTCCATAGGTGCAGCCTGGCACAGAGTCTGTGCTCAGCCAGGGGTACAGAGGGAAAGCCGACATCATTCCTGCAGCTGGCCCTGCCCCGTGGGCCTCACCACCCCAGACGCTGTCTTTCTCCACAGGGTTCTGGGTGCTGACCCCCAAGACCAAGCAGACGGTGCCCCTCACTATCGCTGCAGCCCGAGGTTATACCGACTGTGCCCGCCACCTCATCCAGCAGGGAGCTGAGCTGGATGCCCGGGTCGGGGGCCGGGCAGCCTTGCACGAGGCGTGTGCCCAGGCCCAGTCTGACTGCGTGCGGCTGCTGCTGACCTTCGGCGCCAAGGCCAATGTGTTGTCAGAGGAAGGCACAACTCCCTTGCACCTCTGCACAGCCCCTGGGTCCTTGCAGTAAGTGCCCAGGGCATAGAGGGGTGGGGGTGGGGGGCCGTGGGGTGGTGTGTATGTGTCTGTGTGTCTGCAGCTCACGTGGCCAAAAGAAGGGAGAAGCATTTCTTATTCTGATGTCCTCACAGCAACCTGGGAGACAAAACTGAGGCTCGGTAAGGTTTAGTGGTTTGTCCAAGGTCACATCAGATAAGCCCAGAAGGCAGAAGCCCTGTTGCTTTTTGGGAAAACCCTGTTTCAGCTACAGTCTCTTATCCCCCCATGAACCCTTCATAGGCAAACTCCTAGCTGTTTTGAAGTAGGCATCAAGAAATATCTAGCCCTGGTTGTTATGGCTCAGTGGACTGAGCACCAGCCTACAAACTGGAAGGTTGTGGGTTCAATTCCCAGTCAGGGCACACGCTTGGGTTGGGGGCCTGTGAGAGGCAACTGATCAATGTTTCTGTCTCTCCCTCCCTTTCCCTCTAAAAAAAGTAACAAAATCTTAAATCCTTGATAAACTGTGTGACTTACGGACAAATACCCTCGCCGAGCACAAATTTTCTAAAAAAAGAAAGATGTAGCCGGGTTTCCCGACCTCAGTATGAAGCCCCGCACAGCTCTCATCCCCAGCCTTTTCTCTTCCTCCTCCCACCTTCTTAGGGTCGACACTCCCTCAGACCCCCTTTGTGGTGGTCCTTGCACGTTTGTAAATCAGGCCCGCGGACGGGGCTGTCCTGGTAAGGATTCGGTCACTCCCGGGAGATAGTCCAGAGCCCCATGCTAGGAACCTCGCCCCTGCTTTAATCTAGAGCAGGGATGGAACAGAGCCACCCAAGTTTTTCGGCCCTTTTTTTTTTTTTAAAGATTTTATTCATTTATTTTTAGAGGGGAAGGGAAGGAGAGAGGGAGAGGAACACCGATGTATGGTTGCCTCTCGTGCGTCCCCCGTTGGGACCTGGCCTGCAACCCAGGCATGTGCCCTGACTGGGAATCGAACCGAGATCGTCTGGTTCACAGGCCCACGCTCAATCCACTGAGCTACACCAGCCAGGGCATCAGCTGTTTCTTTTTTGCTTGTTGTTTCTTCTGTTATTTTTTATTTTGTTCTCCCCCCACCCCACCCCCACTCCCTTGAGTTCTTAGGGCCACATGGTACACTTTAGAGAATTTACCTTTTTTTTTTTTTAACATGTACCCTTTTAAGTGACGTGAGACTAGTTCCACTGAAATCCTACTAAATTATTTAAATTTAGTACTTGGAAACAAAAATCAGCCCATGATTAGAATCGACTGAGGGAGTGTATTCAGGAGCTGTGGGTGACTGGCTGCTGCTCACTCTTGGTCCCTGAGCAAAGCGCTTACTGGGCACATGCACTGCAGGGGGACTGAGGTGCGGGCCATGCGGGGAGGGGCACGGGGTCGTCAGGGTTTCGCTGCGGTTGCTGGGCCTGCTTCTGAGTTCCAGTGACTGGCATTCTGGCTTTTTAACTCGTGAGTTCCTCTTAGTTTAGTTTTATCATTAATTGAGTTGGTTCTGTTTGGCCTCCTCCATGGTGGTTAATGACGAATATTTGCTTCTACGGTGTTCTGGCCCATAACTTTTCCAGGAACTTGAAGATTGTGAAAAACATGTGCTTCCTAAAATCTCCTTTTCGTTGTTTAGTTTTATTTGCTCTCTTTAGAGGAAAGTGGAAAAGTGGGTCCCAGGTGCCTTCTTTTGTTGGCGTGGGTGTGGCTGGTCTGAAAGGGTGGTCTTCAAGTTCAGAAGCGGGAAGAAAATACTAGGGCTTCTTTTAATTTTCTGGGTTTCCCAGGGTACACGCCAGTGGGTTTTCTGTTGTGTGTGTGTTTCTGCTATCAAAACGTTAGGTGTGGCTCAGCTGGCTGGGTGTTATCTCACAAATCAAAAGGCTGCCTGTGTGATTGATTCCCGGTCAGAGCGCATCCCAGGGTCGTGGGTTCAGTACCAGTTGGGGCATTTAGGGGAAACTGCCCTTGACTGAGGTCTCTCGCATGCATGTTCCTCACCCTCTTTCTCCCTCTCTCCCCTCTCTCTAAAAATAAATAAATACCTGGCTGGTGTAGCTCAGTAGATTGAGCGTGGGCCTGCGAACCATATGATCACAGTTCAATTCCCAGTCAGGGCACAAGCCTGGATTGCGGGCCAGTTCCCAGCAGGGGACGCACGAGAGGCAACCGTACATTGATATTTATCTCCTTCTCTTCTTCTCTAAAGATCAAATAAACAAACAAACAAATGGATAGTATCCTATCCTTTAATTAAAAAAAAATAGATAAAACCCCTTAAAAATGTCAAGACACGTGATTCAGGACCAGACCTTGGGGTCCCAGTGGGACTGGGGAGTCAGGTTAGACTCTGGGAAGGACTGTCTGAGGCAGTGACTACTTACTCCAGTGCAGCTACTAACTCGCTGTGTGTCCTTGGCTGCACTGTGACCTTTCTGGGCAGAAGGTTTTCACGTGAAACCTGAAGATGCTGCTGATGACTTTACGGGCCTTTCAGCTCTTCTGCCTGTCCTGGGGCTTCTGTGAGTCTGACGGTGGCCACCAGGCTCGCCTGCGGGTGCAGGGGCTGGGAAGAAAGGGGGTCAGGGATGGCTTCAGGCTGAAGGGTTCCCAGGCCAGGCCTTGGTTTCTCAGGATTTGGCGTGGCACCTTGTGCCCTGCCCCCAGGTGCGCCAAGCTGCTGTTGGAGGCGGGAGCTACTGTGAATGCTGCTGCAAGGGACAGCGAGGTAACACCCCTGCACATGGCGGCGGCACGTGGCCTGGAGGAGCATGTGGCTCTCTACTTGGAGCATGGAGCCGACGTGGGCCTGCGCACCAGCCAGGGTGAGACGGCTCTGAATGCGGCATGTGCTGGGGCCGAGGGCCCGGGCAGCAGCTGGAAGCACCAGGCTGCCGTGCGCCGGCTCCTGGAGGCCGGGGCTGATGCCCGGGTGGCCGGGCACAAGCGCCACACACCGCTGCACAATGCCTGTGCCAATGGCTGCGGGGCCCTGGCCGAGCTGCTGCTGGGCCATGGGGCCTGCGCTGGAGTGCCCAACGCAGCAGGCCACACACCCATGGACTGTGCGCTGCAGGCTGTCCAGGACGTTCCTAACTGGGAGCCTGAGGTCCTCTTCATGGCACTTCTAGACTACGGGGCCCAGCCAGCACACCCCGAGGTGTGTAGGGAGAGCCTGTGAAAGGAAGCTGCAGCTGGGTAGGGGGAGCCTGCCTATGGAATTGGCCCACCGTCGGGTGAAGGGGGGCCTCAAGAGTCTCAGGGCCCACCCTACGTGGCCAGAGGTCTGGCCCCATCTTGGGAAGGGCCGGTGGGGGGCTATGGGTGATGGTATCCAAAGGCGAAAAGAGGTCCCAAGGAAACTAGCTGGGACCAGGAGGTTGTGGAGCACCCTTGAAGGTGGGGTAAACTGAGGCATGGAAAATATGAGACTCATGCCCTCTGGTCGGGAGAGGCATGGTGCTGTGAGACCCTCTTTTGATTCCCAGATGCTGAAACACTGTGCCAACTTTCCTCGGGCCCTGGAAGTCTTGCTTAATGCCTACCCTTGTGTGCCATCCGGTGACACCTGGGTGGAGGCAGTGCTCCCAGAGCTGTGGCAGGTATGTCCACCCCAGGGGCACAGATCTATGCTGGGCCTGGGCCTATCCCTCCAGGACAGGCTCCCTGGAGGGTGCAGCAGGAGGGCCCCTGGGATGGAGGTGGACAGCAGAGCGAAACCCCTGGTTCCTAGGCTCCCCTCCTCCCCCAGCAGCTCAGAACAACCTCCAAGCCCACACACCTCCCCAGCCTGCATCAGCTCATTTCTCGGGCTCCTTTGACTCAGCGGGCGGGCACTTTGACTCTTCAGAGTGGGGTGGGTGTGGACATGGCTGAGACAGGGCTTTGCAGTGTGGTCCCAGCTCTCTAGCACAGAATCTGAGTCCTTCAGGATGCACCAAATTTTACATGTTGCAAAATCCTAGGGCCCTACCACTAGGTGGCCCCCAGTTGGAAGGGCAGTCAAGGGTATTGGGCCATCTGACCCTGTTCCACTCCTGGCTAGGAGCACGAAGCCTTCTACAGCTCCGCCCTGAGCATGGTGAACCAGCCAAGGCGGCTGCAGCACCTGGCCCGGCTGGCTGTGCGCGCTCAGTTGGGTAACCGCTGCCGACGGGCTGCCGCCTGCCTCCCCCTGCCGCAGCTCCTCAAGGACTACTTGCTGCTTCGTGTGGAGGGCCACATCCAGTGAGCGCCACGCCAGGCTATTCCCACAGCTGGTCCTGCTTCCTTCATCCAGCACATCCCTCAACCCTAGAGAACCAGTCGCTGGCCCTCTGGCCACACTCTGCATTCCCTCCTGGGCCAGCTCACCCCTCCGCTGGCTGCTGGAGCCAACTGCTGACCTCTAGCCTGACCTAAGCTTCAGCTCCACTCTGATGGGAAGGTCTGCAGACTCAGCCTTCCCCCGTCTCTTCTTTGCCTAAGTGGGTGGTGGCCCCTCCACCCACCCGAGGCCCCAGGCCACGGGATGGTGATCCTTGTTGCAACCCCATCCTCTGCCACCTGTATCTGTTCAGCTTCCTAAAGAGTGACAGGCTCTGCTTCTAGCTGAACTATTGCCATTGCATTGCCATTGCATTGCCATTGTCATTTGAAAGGAGGACCTCGTAGACTGATCTTGAAACCCATGCTCTCTCCCCCTGCCAAGGTTTTATTTATTTAATTTTTTAGAGAGAGGAAAAGGGAGAAAGAGAGGGAGAGAAACATCGATCGGTTGGTCAAACTAGGGACCTGGCCCACAACCCAGGAATGTGCCCTGACCGGGAATTGAACTGGTGACCTTCCGGTCTGCAGGCTGGCCCTCAATCCACTGAGCCACACCAGCATGAAACCCATGCTCTTGAAACCCTGTTTCCAGGCATTCTCCCTCCTTAGTATACTCTTCATTTTTTAAAAAAAAATCCTGGCTGGAGCTGATTTTATCCTTAAGGCAGATCACAAGCAGTATGTGCCCAACCCAGCAGGCCACCTTCCTTGGTGTGAGGCCTAATTAAGAGCCCGTGTCTGCCTCAAGTAGGCTGAGCCTGGCAGACACATTCCTTGAACGGGCATTTCAGTCAGTGGCGTTGGGGGAGGAATAAATGCTTGACACCCGGGACCCGTTTACAGCTGTGCTGCCCTGCCACCCCCCGCGGTCCCCCCAGACTCATGGTGTCTTAAACAGTGGTCACCGCACTTGTGAGCTCTGAGAGTCTGTGACAGGAGGACCAGCCACCAGCTGTCCCCTCTTTCTCTCTCGCTTCCTCCTCTGGGTCCCAGAGTCAGATGCGCCACTGTTCACCTTTAAGAGGAAGCTTTCCAAGCCAAGGTAGTTTTTATGATTGCAAATAAATGACTGATGCACAGTACCGATACGTGGATATTGTTGGGCTGCAGTGTGACTGAGAGGCCGGTTACTCCCTGTTTATTTCCCCCACGTTGTCCTCTTCTACCGTCCCCAAGTTTTCTTCTGCATGGAGCAACTGTTACTCTTGTGATAGCAGAAGGGGTGTAAGAACAACACAAGGCCCCTCCCAGCTCCTGAACCTGCAGTACCCACCTCTGGAGGGAATTAAGGAGGGGCTCCCAACAGCCTGCACACCTGTCCTTTTTCTGAGGGACTCTGGGACCCCCGTGCCCTGACCATTTGGAGCTCTGGGGTGGCCTCCTGCCGCTGTGGCCGGCCACCCCTCCCCCATGGAGTTGCATCTGCAGAGATGCGCTTTGACCAACACAGAGACAAGCTTTTACCTCCTTAGGCAGAGCAGCAACCTCTCCTTGCGGGACATTTTCACTTTAATGCCACAGAGCCAAAAGCCCGAGGGGAGAGAGGGAAAGCCTCTCTGGTCCTGGGACCAAGCGGGGAGCCTCCGTCCCAGGGAGGATGCTGAGTTGTCTGCTCCCCCACTGCAGGCTCACCTCACAGAGCTCAGCTTTTTCTGCCATATTTACAACTACAAGAAGATACCCGTATAAAGAAAAGAAAAGATACATGTGATTATATATTACTGGGCGCTAAGAAAAGATTTTCCAATGTAAAAGCATAAAAGAAAAGATTAGATCTGGACACAGAAAAAGTTTAGATTTGGTGTTACAGAAACACCGAATTAATAACATGCCTTGCCATGTACAAGGCAAAAAATATTGAAAAATGTGGTACAGCTAAAAGATGGTATTCCCTTGATCTATGAGGGCAAGAGTGATATGTTTACTTGAATCCTCACCTAAGGATGTTTTTATTGATTTTAGAGAGGAAGTAGGGGGGACAGAAACGTCAGTGTAACAGAGAAACAGGGATTGGCTGCTTCCCATTCATGCGGGGGGGGGGCAGCTGAACCTGTAAACTAGGTATGTGCCCTAACTAGGATCGAACCCACAAACTCTTGGTGCACAGGACAACGCTCCAACCAAATGAGCCATCAGGCCAGGGCAGGAATGACCTCTGTCTTTACCACCATTGTTGACTTGGTGCCTCTACAGCAACTAGCAGAGAACAGACACTTAAATATCTAAGTGAATGATAGTCAACATCACCAGCGATCAGGGGAGTACAAATTAAAACAGCAGTATGATATTCTACTAGATTAGGGGAAATTTTAAAGACTGATAACATGCAAGGCCTGTGAGGCTATGGAGAACTAAGTTCTTGCATATCCTGTTGGTGGGAAAGGAAGCCGCTTCTCTGGTGGGCAGTTTAACAGCTCCCTTAAACACTGCTCCCCACTTACACAAAAGGCTGGCGCATATGGGAATCTCCTCCCAGCACTGCTTGCAACCACTTGGCCAGTGGGAGGTGGTACACAAGTCCATGCTATGAAACACAATTCAGCCCTTGCACACGGTAGTACCCTCAGCAGGAAAGAACTGAGAAGGGATTCCAAGTGAATTGCATACATATTGCTTTGGAAAATTTTGCAAGACTATTGCTAAGGAGGAAAAAAACCAGGTCAGAATCCAGTATGTACAGCAGAAACAAAACAAAACAAAACAAAAAAATAAAAGGAACAGGAAAAGACAAGGAAGGCAGGTGTGCATCCAAAAATTCTCCCTCTGGGCAGGGGACGGGAAGTGTGCTGGTAGGGCTTTTAATGGTCTGTATTTGAATTTTTTACTGAAGGGTACCCGTGGATTCTTGTGAAATTAAAAAAAAAAATGAGGGAAGAAAAGGCAAACGGCCCAAAGAGTAAATTTACAAACTAGTTGATGAAATATGAAAAACGTGCAAACTCACTGGTAATCCAATTAATGCAAATTAAAGGAGCAGACACTCTGTTGCCTATTGCAACCATTTCCAACCTTTTTCATTTCATGGCACACATAAACTAATTACTAAAATTTTGCAGCACACCAAAAAATATATTTTTGCCAATCTGACAAAAAAAAAGATATAATTTTGATTCATTCACACCAGATGGCTATTGTTGTGTTGGCTGCTGTCGTTTTTTTATTTGACAGTCTAAGGGAACAGAGTACAGTGTCCCTGACTAGTCAGGTACTGCATGTTTTACAAATTCTTGCGGCACGTGGGTTGAAAATCTCTGGCCTGCCGGTTTGGCAAACATGAAACAAGTAGTGGTTAGGAAAGGAGCACTTTTTCTGTCTTAAATTTTTAAAAAAGATTTTAAATTTATTTTTCGAGAGGGAAAGGAAGGGAGGGAGGGAGGGAGGGAGGGAGACATCAATGTGTGGTTGCCTCTTGCGTGCCCCCTACTGGGATCTGGCCTGCAATGCAACCCAGACATGTGCCCTGATGGGGAATTGAACTGGCGACCCTTTGTTTCACAGTCCAGCACTCAGGCCACTGAGCCACACCAGCCAGGCTTCAAATTTTTATATTTGACAAATTTGATATATCACAATTTGTAAATATGAGACATGCAGTGTGTTACTTTGATGCATTTATATATAGCAATGTGACTGCCATCGAAGGAATATTTATCGTATTGCATCATTGCAGTACAATACTATAGACTGTATTCATTACACTGTGCATTAGAGTGGCTTCTTCACTACACATTACAAGTTTGTACCCTAAACACCATCGATCTTATCTCCCCAAGCACTTTTAGTTTTTTAATAAAACAGATTTACTATACACATATTTAGTTAAGGCAGCATCCCAGAATTTATAAGTACATTCACTATTCCATAGCCATCTTGATTGTACACAAAGGTATAAAAACACCTAATTTCAACAGTTTAAGAAAAATAAACATCTCATAAACTACATTATGAACAATGTCCTGTGGAGTTAAGATCCATTAAAATACTCTGATATTATTATACTTAATTATTATTATATTTAAAAAAACAGTCTGGCCCTGGCTGGTGTCATTCAGTGGATTGAGTGTTGGCCTGAGAACCAAAGGGTGGAGACTGGTTCTATTCCCAGTCAGGACACAGGCCTGGGTTGTAGGCCAGGTTCCCAGTAGGGTGCGTGTGAGAGGCAACCACACATCGATGTTTCTCTCCCTCTCTTTGTCCCACCTTTCCCCTCTCTCTGAAAATAAATAAATAAAATTGTTTTTTTCTTTAAAGTTAAAAAAAATAAGAGAACCAGTTTGGGGCAGTAATATAGTCCCAGCTGCAGAATTATTTCTTTCCTCTCGAGAAAAACACCCAACCTCAAACCAAAGCCTGAAAGTCCCACTTTCAAAATACCCTTAGCTGCATCTTGTCTTTTGTTGTACGAACTCACAAAATATACCTCTTGTCAGACTCAACTTCCACTTTTTCCAACCCTTCATCCCAGCTGCTGAGCATTCCAAGATTATCTCATCCCTAGCCAATCCTTCCTTCTTCCATCCATTTTCCTCAGCTGTAAAGTCTTAAGAAGGACTTTACAGCTGACTAGCAGATGAGAGAATTCTCTCAAATTCCCAATCTCTTCCCCCAACTTCTCTGAATCCATTCATCATTCATTTAATAAATCTTTAACAAGTACCTGATGCATGCAGGCATTGGAATACATTTCAGGGATATTGGAATAATTTTTAAAAAACACGAGAAAAAAGAGACTTCTGGCCCTGGCTGGGGTAGTAGGTTAGCAGAGTGAGTGCAGGCCTGTGAACCAAAGGATCACCTGTTTGATTCGCAGTCTGGGCACAAGCCTGGGTTGCGGACCAGGTCCCCAGTAGGGGGCGCTCGAGAAGCAACCATACATTGATGTTTTCCTTTCTCCTTCCCTTCTTCCCCTCTCTAAAAATAATAAAACCTTTAAAAAAATCATATAAATATATAGCACATTTCCTAGGATATAATAAACCCAAAAGGATTAACAGTGGTTCAATTTATTGGTTTATAAACTTCCTCAAATATTTGAGAGGTCTTGAACCTGCTACTCTCTCTGTTTGGAACCCAGCTTGGTAAATCTCTACTCATTCTTCAAATTTCTGTTTACTGTACCCCATAGGATGTTGTGCCCCATCCTATGTCATTCTAAATAAAAACACTAAGCTTTAAACCCAAAAAGTACATATATGCAGAAATTAAGACAATACCTTCAATCTCAAGAACATATTGTTGATCAAAAGAAACCACACACACACACACACAAGAAACCACACAAAAGAATTGAAAAGAGCGACTCAGATACTTGTACATCAGCGTTCATAGCCACATTATTCACAATAACCCAAAGGTGGAAAGAACACACATGTCTATTAACAGATGAATGGATAAAGAAAATGTGGTAAATACATATAACAAGAATACTAATCAGCCTTAAAAAGGAATGAAATTCGATATGGTCTACAACATGAATGACCCTGGAAAACATGCTCAGTGAAAGGAGCCAGACACAAAAAGACAAACATTGTGTGATTCCACTTATATGACATACCTAGAACAGAGGCAGGAGGAGGAGTGGGTGCAGGAAATGGACAGTGTGATGGATGCACAACGTTGCGAATGTACCTCATGCCACTGATTGAGCCGCTTAAAATGGTTCAAGTAGTAATTTTTGTGTATATTTTATCATAATAAAAAGACTTAAAAAGAAAAAAAGCCAGACACCAAAGAGTACATACATACTTTTGGATTCTATTTATACAAGTACAGCAACAGATATTTCTAATCTATGGTGTCAGAAGTCAGAAGAGTGAATAAATACTAGCTTTGGTCAGGTAGCGCAGTTGGCTAGGGCATCATCCGGATAGGCCAAGGTTGTGGGTTTGATCCCCCATCCGCACATGCAAGAATCACCAATGAATGAATAAATAAGTGGAACAACAAATCAATGTTTCTCTCTCTCAAATCAGTAAAAAAAAAAAAGTTTACATAATGACTACTCTGTAAATTAGTGGCTGGAAGAGGACAAGAAGGTGAGTAGTTATGCGTCATTCTTGATTCGAATGCTGGTTCTACCGGTGTGTTCCGCTGGCGGAAACCACCGAGCTTTTCGCTTATGAGTCTGCCCCTGTCTGCATCATTCACATGATTCAATCAATAGTTCACCAGAAAACAATAAAGCCCCAGCACATCTTTAGAAAAAAATTAAATGCAAAAATGATAAGTTCTCAGAAACTGAGCCTTCTGGAGGAGGCTCCTGCTTTTCTTGTGCTCTAAAACTGCGCTGAATCTGTACCTTGTTTGAAATGCTTTCTTGCATAGTTTACCCAAGTACCACAACCTCCCAGGTTGTGGGCCCACATTCTCGGAGCACCGCGTAGTAACTAAATTGTCTCCCTGTATGTCTCCCGACTATCCTTGAATTCTTGGAAGTCAGAGAGACTAGTCCTTACTGACCCAACTAACCTGGAGCAGTAACAGTCCTATCAAACCAGGCGTCTGGAACGAGGCCGGAACAAGGCTGGAAAGACGAAAGTGCTGCTGGAGTTGTGCCCAGGTGTTCTAGGCCGGTAGATCTTCTAGAGCCGGCACCACGCCCCCTTTCAAGGGAGGTCCTCAGCTCCCTTCTGGCCGTGCCCCTCAACGCCCAAGCTCCTCGGCCCCCGCCCACTAGGCGTGGCCCTGCCTAGTGGGCGGGGCCCAAGGCCCCGGATCCCGCCAACAGTGACTCCGCCCCTCCGTCCGCTGACAAACCTGTCCCTTTTAAAGAATACGTTTACGTCAGCCCGCCTTACGTAGCTTTGCATCATCAGTGCAAGGCGCGGAGGCGGGACTTCCTGCCTCTGGCTCAACAGCTTCCTGGAGAAGCCGGAAGAGACTGGACCCTGGGCAGAATCGGGGGTAGCCAGCCCCTTCTTCGGCCCCTACGGAAAGGTGAGTCCATGGGCCGTCCTGGCGAAGTCAAAACACTTAGTCTGGCCGTTACAGGTGAGGACCTCTTCCCCTATTGAGACATAGTACTGGTCAAGCCCCTCTTAATTTCCCATGACTCCCCGCGTACTCAAGCACCGCCCATAGGCCCCTGGCCCCGCCCCGAAGTTTGAGGGGTGTGGATGGTTTGTGACCCCCCTCACCCGTTTCTACCCCTCACCGACTGGGAGAAGTGGGCTTGTGTACGGCAGCTGGCACCAGGCAACGTTTCGGCTCGGATGGGCCCACGGACCCCTTCTGCAGAGCCGCGAGAATAGGACTGCACAAAAGCGGAGCCTTCGCCTCGGAAAAGGCAGGGGACACCCCCTCACCGCGCGGTGTGGGTCGCGAAGGCCTCTGAGGCGGGAGACCTGAGGCCCCCGGCCCACGAAGGTCCCCTGTGTCTGTGCCTTTGCTTTTCTCCTCTGTTCGCTGCAGTTTCCTTTTCTGTAAATCGAGGTTAATGACATTAACCTCCTTACCATCCGGGGTTAGTTGTGGGTGTAATAAGTAATTGCTACCATTTATTTATCGAGCAATTGCAATGTGCCAGGCACTCCGCTTAAGTATTTTGCTTCGATGATTTCCCGGCATCTTCAAAACAACCTTATGAGGTAGGTACTATTTTTCTCCCCATTTTATGGATGAGAAAGCCGAGGCTTCAAGGCAAAGCTGTCCGAGGTTACAGAGCTAGAAAGAAGCAAGACAAGGATTACAAGTTGTTGTTTTTTTCCTGACTCAAGGACCCATGTACTACATAAGGATGTGGAATCTAGGCAGATTTTGATAGGTTCCACAAACATTCTTTGAGCAACTACTCTGGCATTATGCTGAGCACTACAGTACATAGAGAAATACACGTGGTCCTTGTCTCACAGGAGTCTAGTAGAGGGAGATGGACAGGTAGATGAATATAATGAAGTTTTATAGTTGCTGTGAGAATAGTCTGGTAATGATAATCATTAGACTGGATTTGCCCAGGGACAGCAGTGAAAGCAGCAAATTCTCCAAGGGAAAGGGTAAGTACTCCAAGGAGCAAGCCGAGATCCTTGCCTTTCTAAGAAACTGCTGAGGGAGAACCTGCACAGTACAAAAGGAGAGACGGAGCTATGCACTGTGACAGCTGTTTTGGGAGCCTTCCAAATCCGTTCCACTCAGGTGGTGGTTTTCAGTTGGGAGCCTGTACTGACCCAGGAGGGCAGTGTTCCTGGTGCCTGGTGCCTGGCCTACTTTGCTCCCCAGAGCTTGCCAGGAGAGCTTGAGAGGAGGCAGAAACAATGTCTCCTGCGCAGTGTCTGCCGATGACCTCTACCGGGCCGCTGGGGTTTTTTGACTCTTGTCCCTTTGGAGAGATCTGACTCTGCTTTTGATGGTAAATTAATTTTCTTTGGCTCTTGATATCTGGATCTACATATGTGACCATGAGTGAGACAGGGTTTTCAGTGAGACAGTCTGGCAAGAGTGGTTGCACTCTACTTCCAAAAGTGCCCTGGAATAAAATGCTACAGGGCTTCCTGATCTCTCTGAGGCCACCTTGGAGGCTCCTCAAAGGAGGGTAGCTGCTTCATCGAATGATATAGAAGTCCAAGCGAAACTCAGGGCTCAAAGGAGCAGATGTTTTTCCCCACCTACTGAAAAAGCAACAAACAGTTGCACCAGCAACAAAGCTGTAAGGTTTTCTTAATAACCCATGCACACTGGGGGGCTGGAATGTGAGAGGGGAAGGGTGTGGAGCTTGGAATAGTTTCACCATAGAGGTAAAGGGCAAATCATCAGCTCTAGGTTGGGGTTTGGGGTTACAAAGGTTTGTTTCCCCTTCCGCAGGACAGTGGACTCCGTTTTCTTTCAGGTCAGAGCCTAAACAAACTTGAAATCAGGTTGCAACCCCAGAGGCCCTATTGATGTTATCCCCCTTTGTTCCTGCAGTGTGGACCCGGTCAACAGCCAGGCCATGGAACTGTCTGATGTCACCCTTATTGAGGGTGTGGGTAATGAGGTGACTGTGGTGGCAGGTGTGGTGGTGCTGATTCTAGCCTTGGTCCTAGCTTGGCTCTCTACCTATGTAGCAGACAGCAGTAGCAACCAGCTCCTGGGCACTATTGTGTCAGCTGGCGACACATCTGTCCTCCACCTGGGGCATGTGGACCATCTGGTGGTGGGCCAAGGCACCCCAGAGCCAACTGAGCTCCCACATCCATCAGAGGGTAATGATGAGAAGGCTGAAGAGGCTGGAGAAGGTGGAGACCCCACAGTGGAGCCCGGAGCTGGGGGTGGCATTGAGCCCAGCCTTGAGCATCTGCTTGACATCCAAGGCCTGCCCAAAAGACACGTGGGCCCGGAGAGCAGCAGTCCACAAGCTCCACTGAGATCTGAGGATAGCACCTCCTTGCCTCCCAACCCCGGCCTCATCAATGTACGGCTCAAATTCCTCAATGACACCGAGGAGCTGGCTGTGGCCAGGCCAGAAGATACTGTGGGTACCCTAAAAAGGTTAGTGAGCTGGAAAGGGGGAGGCTGGTCATACTCCATGTCCCTGGCCTTTGGTTGCCTCAGAGGAGGCTGGTATAGACGGGGCAGCGGGGAATTGTCAGGTCCCATCCTATTAGGAATGGGTGAGATTTTCTTGAAACCACCCAATTTTTCTGCCCCATGGCCCTGCTTTTTTGGTTCAGGCCTGTTTGTCTTCTCAGTCCTTGCCCTCTGTCTTTCCTTCTCTTTCATCCTTACAGTCAACACTTCCCTGGACAAGAGAGCCAGATGAAACTGATCTACCAGGGCCGCCTGCTGCAGGACCCAGCCCGAACACTGCGTTCCCTGAACATTACCAACAACTGTGTGATTCACTGCCACCGCTCACCCCCGGGGTCAGCTGTTCCAGGCCCCTCAGCCTCCCTGGCTCCTTCGTCAGCCACTGAGTCCCCCAGCCTTGGTGTCAGTGTGGGTAGCCTCATGGTGCCTGTGTTTGTGGTGCTGTTGGGTGTGGTCTGGTACTTCCGTATCAATTACCGCCAGTTCTTCACAGCACCTGCCACTGTCTCCCTGGTGGGGGTCACTGTCTTCTTCAGCTTCCTAGTATTTGGGATGTATGGACGATAAGGATGTAGGGAGAAAATGAAAGGCATGGTCTTCCTTCTTTATGCCTCTTCTATTTCCTGGCCAGACCAGGGCCCAAGGGCCTGGGAGAGAAGGGTGGAAAGGATACAGTGGGTCCTTTTCAGCCCCTTCATGTCCATAAGGGTACAGACATCCCCTCTGCGTAAGCACAACTCAGGTAGAAACAAGGATGTCATCGTCCTTCACTTTTAAGGCCCTGAAGTTCAGAGCCACGCTGGGTGGTGAAGCTCAGTGGGGTGGGGAGCCTGGGCTCTGAGGATTCCCTCCTGCCCGTGACCCAGCTCTTCCCATTGTCCTGCATGTTTGTTCCTCAGTGCCCAGGGCCACCTGCCAGGGCAGCTCAGTATGGCCCCTGCATACTTCTGCAGGGAACCTTGAGTATCTCTCAGTTCCTTAGTGGAATATCCATCTTTTGAGACTAAAATTGCACGGACAGGAACGAAGAGGGTGTCAGCTTGCTCTGTAGGCACCTCGCTGCCTCTCCCTCTACCCTTTTAGCAGGAATAGGGTGTCCTCTATGTTCTGGAGTTTCCACTGTTCCCCCTTTTTTCAAAGCACTTTGCTTTTTTTTTTTTTTTTTTTTAATAGTCCTTTAGAGAGCTGTCAGGAAGGGGATTGGGGCACAAAGCCAAGCCCCCACCATTGGGAGAAGCCAGGCCACAGCTGCTGCTACCCTAGGCCTAAGGCTGTATGCAAGAAATGGCTCTGGCCCTTGGCCAGTGGCCTGCCCTGCCCAGCTCCAAGGAGGAGCGCTGAGTATGGAGCACTGTGCCCCTGGCCCTTGCCTCTGGGGGCCTTGGATGGGGGTGGGTGGGGCAGTGTCTGTGACTGAATAAAGTTCCATTTTGTGGCTATGGAGCCTCCTGTGGTATTAAGAGAATGGCTTTGCCCCCAGCAACATGGTAATGAGGGTGGGTAGGCCCCGCTACCAATGGGAGATGCAATTTATTTACACCAGCAGCCATGGGGGCAGGGGAAATACACAGCGTTTACAAAGTTAGCTACCTGTACAAGATGGATTACATATGCAAAAATAAAAATCTCAAGACCACAGGACAGCGTGAGCCCCACCCCCCCTCCCCCAATGACCCCAGCATGCGGTAATGCCAGGCGGGTGGCCCCTGGGCATGCGGGGGGGAGTGATGCATGGAAGGAAAAGCCACCGGCCATGGAAATTAGTACAGAACCCCCCCACACACACTCAGACACATGATAGGATACAGGGTGGACGACACCTAGCCAGGTTGGGAAGGATGGGAATTGAAACCCACACAGCCTGCTGTTAGAGGGAGGGGAGTGGGGGAGCTCCTAGCCCCTGTTAAACTACATGGTAGGGGGGCAGACTCTCCCAGGAAGGAAAGGGATTTGTTCCCTCAGGGTCCCTGCTGGACCGAGCCCACCTCTTACCCAGCCTGGGCAGGGGGCTCTGCCCTGAGGGTGGGCCGGGGAACAATGGGGAAGTGGATGTGGACAAACCAGTTCCCAAACTACTTCCCACTTCTCCCTCCTCCAACCAGAAGGGGGAAAGGGTATATATTAGGGCCTGAACTGCAGCTGCCTCTCAGAAGGAAGAATGGCCCCTGGCCTTCCTCCCTTCACCTTCAACCTACTTCCAAGAGGTCATTTGGAAGCAGGCTGGAGACTAGCTGAGATCCTCCTTTCCCTCTGGCTTCCCCTCAGAGGGAGAAGACTATGGAGGTTCAAGAACAGAGGAGCCCAGGCCCCAGGATTTATTCTAACTCCTGCCAAAATCTGTTTGGCTTTTTTAAAAAATAATCACAATTCTTGGGTTAAAAACCAATTTGTAACCAGACTTCAGCCACAAGCAGAACCACCCCAGGGGGAGGTCAGGGTTCCAGACAGGGTGCTACAACCCCACCCCTGTTGTTCCCTTAACCCTCTAGGACCCCTAACCCAAATCGGTCCAACCAGTCCTGGGTACTTGCTACCCAATGTGGGGTAACTCCTCCTGAGAGGAGGGCAGGGGACACATCCAGCAAATGCCAGAGAACTTGGCTTAGGGTAGCTCCACCCGTGACAGTCAGCTCTGCTCCCAGCCCCAACTGCATTCCTCCAGCTCGGCTCCTGGGAGTGATGGTGCCCACGTGGAGGTGGGACGGTACATCTCTTCAGGATGTAGACCAGGCAGGTGGGCACACTGGCGTGACAGTCCAGAGGGGCAATGCCTAGACACGACACCCCTTCCTCTCCAACGGTAACCCAGAGCACGAGACTACCCTCTCTTCCTGCCCTACTCCCTAGCAAAGGGGAAGAGGTAAAAAGATCAGGATTTTCCTCAGAGCCCCAAACCACAAGTACAGAATAAATAACTTAAAAGCGGCTAAGGAAGGGGAAACAGGGCAGGCTTCGGAGGCAGGAGCATCGAGAGAGGAACTGAAGCTGGTCAAGGTGAAAGAGGGGGGTTAGCAAGCAGCAGTTGGGAACATGGGCTGCCCTGGAAGGGCAGTGGGGCAGGGTAGGCAGGAGGAACATGGGGCCACCCCAGGAGGGTGAGGCTGAGCCCCTTCCTGGGGCAGGGAATGAGGTAAGAAAACATTTCAAATAAAGCAGCACCGTTCCCTCTCACCTTGGGGCCCCACTCCTCACCAGCCCTGGGTCAGGGAGAAAAGGTAGGGGGAGTCATTATTTGATACACAGCTCCCTCTTCCTACCCTCCCCTAACCCGTTCTTTGAAGCTGTAGAGGCTGGAGGCCCTTTCCTGGCACCCAACAAAAGGACAGCTCCTGCTGCCGATGAGGCCCATGGGGACTGAGGGGAAAGGGCTGCCCCTGTGAGGGGCAGGGAAGGCGGCGGCAGTTCTGGATGCCTACCTCAGCAGACAGCTTGCTGTGCCTGCCTACCCCTGGGACTTGGGGCATTTGATAGGATTCTGCACACAGACAGGACACGCCCAGCCCTGCCCCTCAGCTCCAAGCACCGGACCCATTCACATTGCTGAGGGCGGCTGGGGGAGGCCCCCTCCAGGCTCAGCTTCTAACCCACAGCCTCCCGGGTAGCCATAATGCTCCTCGGCAGGGCTTAGTCCAGTTCCTGGGGTGGGGGGCAGGCAGTGCCCTGGCAGCGTGCCCAGGTCAGGCCCCTGGCCTAGCTGGACATCCAGTAACTCAGAATAAATATGAAAACCGCCTCCCCACCAAACTTATGTCCAAAGGCATAGTATGTCCAGGTCTGAGTCCTGCATGCCGAGGGGTCGTGCTCCGTCGCAGAGGACCCTGACACCCCCCAGGGGCGCATAATTGGATCCTCTGCCTGCCTGGCCCACCAAGCTTCTCAAGCCCAGACCCCCAGCAGCCGTCCATTTGCCAGGTTATGCCACCTGGGTGGGGGTTGGGAGAGAGGGCTCTGCTTAGCCAAAGGCTATCCCTTGCACCCAAGTCAGTTGATGTCATCGTAGATGCTGGGCGTCGGGGGTGCCGGTGGCTTTGGCTTTTTCTTCTTGTTGGAGCCTAGGCCGGAGGTAGTCCCTACCAGGCTCAGATGGGATTTCTTTTTCTTCGTTTTCCGTGACTCAGAACTGTTGGTACCTGAACAGATAGATGCACAAGGGGTGAGGGCAGGGCTGTGGCAGAAGAACGCATGGTGCCCCCCCTCCTTTGCTTCGGGCCCATATGGGTCACCTACCTAGACCCCATCCCTGATTCTCGCTCGTCTTGGAGGAGCCTGAATCAGAGGGTGAGAGATCAGAGGAGCCGTCCCACTGCAGCCGGCTGATCAGGGCCTGGCTGTCAGTCATGTCAAAGCTGTCATTATCCAGGGAACTCTCCACCTCTGGAAGGACACTAGAAAGGGGAGGGGCCAGAGAAGGGCTTTACAGATGCCAATCATCTTCCTAACCTTTCACAACCCACCACCCTTTTTGCAGGTCACTTACGCTGAGGGTCCAAGGAAGTAAATCCGCACGGCTCGCCGCTGCTCATCTGTGTGCTGGGGGCAGCGCAGGGACCTGGTAGGGAGAGAATGATCAGACCCTGACAAGGCAGAAGGGTCTGAGGAACTCGAGTGAAGCCCCTCCCCTCAGCAGAGATAGAAGGGATAGACAACAGGGAAGGGATGACCAGAGAGCCTCTAGATTAAAGGGGAGTCCCATTGCTCAAGTCCAGGGTACTCCCCACCCACACCCTGGGTGAGTGTGCAGGACGGCCCCCTGGCCCCCTTTCTAGATTCTGAGCTCACCTTGTGCACATCTTCTTGGTGTGTTCAGAAATCACCCCACATTGCTGGAAGAGGAATATAAGCTGAAAGGAGGGATGGAGGGGAACCTACTCTAGACACTAAATGTTTTATTCTGTAAAATTCAAGATTGCACAAGCACAAATGGTCCCAATGTGTCCAGGGCAGAAAGTCCCAGGTCACCACTGGCCAGGAACCCTAGTTCCAGAGAGAGAATTATACGGCCCTGACTGCTACGTCACCAGCCTCCTCCTTTAGGGCCTTGCCCACTGCTGGTGGCTCCACCCCATCCCAGAGGCCTCCCCTGCCCTGGTCCCTCACCGTGGTGAGCAGGCTACGAAGCTCCTCAGGTCCCAGGGTCTCATAGCTGATCCCAGTTGAGTTGTTATACTGGGGGAGAACCAGAGGTACAGGTTAGAGCAGCAGCAGCCAAAGAGGAGGGTAGGGATGGGGTGGAGAACCAGTCCCTCTCAATCCAGTCTAAGTGAGGGAGGATGCCTTAAGACTTCCCAGCAGACCCTAGCAGGTGTGGCTCAGTGGACTGGGCGCCAGCCTGTGAACCGGAAGGGGGCTGGTTCGATTACCTATCAGGGCACATATCTGGGTTGTGGGCCACGTCCCACTTGGGGGGGGGGGTGCAAGAGGCAACAGATTAATGTTTCTTTTGCACATGGATGTTTTCTCTCCCTTTCTCCCTTTCTCCCCTTCTCTCTAAAAATAAATAAAGTCTTAAAAAAAAAAACCCAAAACTTCCTAGCAATTTTCCAATGCAAGATCTAAACACCCGATCAAGTGCTTAAGCGCTCTCTGCATTCTGACCCCTCACCCCCTTTACTTAATCCCATCCAACCCACCACAAGGAAAATGAGGCGGGACCTAAGAGGGGCAGCCGCTACTCACTCACCTTAAAAGGATCCGAATTGCTAAGTTCCCCTGAAGAAGAAAAAAGAAGGGGAAGGGTGTTTGATGCAGAGGTACAGACAGAGAACCCTGAAAATAACCAGAGAGGAAGTGGGGGTGACAGAAGGATCACAGGCCCTCCCTCGATACCCCTGTCCCCCAAACCTCCCACCTCCGCCCTCCAGCAATCAGTCCCAGAAAACACAGCTAGAATCACTAACGTTATTCCAGCCCCACTTACCATTTTTGTGTTTTAAAGACTTGGATCTTCGAGGGGAATTGGGGTTCTGGAATGGGAGATACCATAGCTTTGGAGAAAGGGTAACGATAAGGGGGAGCCGAGAACCCAGGGAAGGAAAAAAGATTTGACAAAGAAACATCCTCAAATTCCTCCTCTTTTTACCCACGTCCACCTCCCCCAACACCCCCAGGCCTCTGCTGCCCTCCTGCCCACCACAGACACCCTCATCCCAAAACCCAGAGGCACCCAATGACCTCAGACTTGAGTCAAGATACTTGAGGACTCCCTGCCCAAAGGGGAGGGTATCTGTCCTTCGCCCAAATTTCCCTCATGCTTGCCCCGGCTCTCACCTTATCCGATTTTCTCTTCTTGGCTGTGTAGGACAAAAGGATAAAGGGCAGGGTCACTTTAAGTTCCCAATCTGATCTAAGAGCGCCGAAAGAAAAGTACAAAGCTACATCTCCCTCCTCACTCAAGATAACTTGTGATCGTTACATACCCAATTCCTGCTGGCCCGCCTCACCCCATTGCCCCCCAAGATTCCCCAGATCCCCAAACACCTTTCTTCTCTGAGCCGTAGGACCAGTCATTGTCATTGATGTCATCATTATCTTCTTGGTCACTCTCAGACTTGTTCATACTGTTGCTGTTGGCAATCCTGACAAGAGGGGGAGAGGAAAAAGGCCAAGGTTGCCACCTCTCTCTCTCTCTCTCTCTCTCTTGTCCCCACATAGTGGAACATCTGGAGCCAAGCATGACCCACCCAGCATGTCCTACAAATGCCCCCAGGGGACCACACCACAGTACAGACTGCAAAAGACAAGCAGCTCTTGTTCTAGCAGGGGCGAAGCCCTCACCGGCGGTTGGCAATTCGGCTGCTGTTCCGACCCATTCCTAGGCACTTCTCCAGATGGGGAGCAAAGCGGGAAGCGGCAATGCTGCGGCTGCAATTGGGGCAAACACACTCCTTGCTCTTCCATTGGTTGAAAACCTGTCCAAAGATGTCCAACCCCGGCTGGTCCACGATCTCTGGGGATAGGAGAGGCGTGGCGATCAGGGTGAGCAGAGGACCCTCACTTTGTTCCCACCTGTGCCCCATGGCCTCTTCCAACTCCCAGCCTGAGCTCACAGGAGCTCCAGGCTCTACATCTGGAGGCGTTTTCCCGAGGAGGAGCCTCTAAGTGCAACCAGGGCAGGGCCAGACTGCCCTCCTTCAGCCCTGAAGCTCACCAAAGTCCTTCATGCTATCAGGATCCGTGTCGTCCAGGAAGAAGTAGCCACACTTGACAGCCCGGTGTACCTCAAAGCAGAATCCCAAACAGGAATCCTCAACCAGGTCGGCGTATATCTCCTGAGCGATGGCCTGGGTGCAGGGGAGAACGTCCACGGTCACCAGAGTCACAGCCGCCCGGGACTGAAAGCAACTCTCATCAACCAAATCTCCAGCTAACAGGCCCTGGCCAAAAATAATGCTTTCTTTGCCATTTCCCCCATCTTGACTTCGCCTTCTTTCTTCTTCTTGATCCTTGGGCTTTTTCATCTGGTCCTATTCCCTTTAAGGAATCGGGCTGACTACCCAAATTCCTCTTTGGTGTGGATGCCAGATATAGCGATGTAGAGACATCAAGAAAAAGAACTAGAGGCACACGTGGGGGAGCCCTCACCTCTAGTTTGCTGTTATCCAGGCCAGACAAAGACATTTCCTCCATTTTCATTTGTAAACTCTTGTGGAGACGGCGCTCTGACTGCTCATAGCACAACGGGCGGCAACACGGCTGCACACAGGGGGGTGGGGGTGTTGGTATGAGTCCAAGGCACCTCTAAACCCCGCCACCTCCCTTCTGTACCTCACTGCCCAGAGCTTATCCTGGCATCAAGATATACCCCTGTCTCAGGCCTAGGCTCACTAAGTCTAGATGGTCCTTCAGGGCCTGAAACCCAAAGATGGCCTAGTCCTCCCCAGGCCTTCACTCAGGCCCTGGACTCTACTGACGATCAGAGCCTAGGTTTACATGAGGCAACAGCTTACCCCAGGTCCCCAAAACTCAAACCCCTCTTTGATACCCATGGTGCAATGCAGCAGGGGGAGGAGAAGGAACTCTAAAGGCCCCACAGGGTGTGGCAAAGAACTGCACAGACTCCTAAATACAGCCCCCCCCTTCCTAAGATCTCCTCAGAGTCACCTCTGCTTTCAGCCAGGATGTCCACTTGGGGGGGTACTGCTACCAGAAGTAGGAATGGCCCTAGGACCCTACAACCTTCACCCCACTGTCTTCCCTTGAAATAAGCCTGCCACTCCAGGAGGGGAGTCCACAGAACCCTAAAGGGGCATTTCCAGTCACCGTGAACAAGAGGGGGTACAGCCTGGTAGGATGGCATGCCAGGAGTGGGCACTCCCCTTACCTGTTCTTCCCTTAGATAACCACCCTCCCTCCCTCAGGACCTGCCCGGAAGTCTTTCCAAGAGCCCCAAAGTCCAAGAATCCCCACCAAAGGATTCAAAAACAGCGCCCACAGTCCGGGGCCCCTCTGAACGGTGGGTACGAGTTTAAGGAGCAGCGGGCCTAGAGTGGGGTGGGGACTGACAAATGAGCCAGGGGCACTGGGGAAGGTAGGAGGCCGGGCCTCGGCTCTTCCCCCGTCCCTGCGGCACTGCTGCTGCATCATACCGACTGGGGGGAGGAGAGCAGAGCCACCGGAGGCCGGCGCCGGTCCGGGACAGACCGACCCTTAGAGAGTGGGCAGAGTGGGACACGTCCCGGTCCCTCTCCTTCCCCACCCGCCGACAGCCCCGGCCGGCCGGGGAGAGGAGTCCGGGAGGGTGTCTCTATTGTCCCGGGGGCTGGGGCCTGGCTCCCTAACAAAGGCCCCGCGCCCCCTCCCCGGTCGGCCCTGCCCCGCCCAGGGGGGGGACCCAGACAGGGGGAGAGCGGGGGCCCCCGGCCGGGCCGGGAAGCCGGGGGAAGCCGGGCGTTTCCGCGTCGGCCCGGGGGGAGGGGAAGGGGCGCTGACCCAGACCTGGGGGGAGGGGGCCCAAGCCCCGCCTTGGGCCCCGCCCCCCGCCCCCCGCAGGCCCCTCCCCCGTCCGTCTCCGTCCCGTACTCACCCCGCCCGGGGGGCCGCGCCGGGGCCCGGCGGCCTCTCAGGGCCGCGTCCTCCGGCGGCGGCGGCGGCGGCGGCTGCTCCGGAGCCCCATGTCCGTCGGTCCGTCCTCGCCTCTCCCCAGGGCCTGGGGCCCGGGGCCGGGGGGTCGGAGCGCCCCCCCGCCTCGCCGCTTCACCGGGCGGCCATGGCCCCTTCCCCTCCCTTCTCGTCCCGTCGCCGCCTCCTCCTCCTCACCTCACCCCGCCCGCGCGCAGTCCGCGCGCCGTCCGCGCGTCCCTCCCCCCGCCCCCCACTCCAGCCCGCCTCTCCCGGGCGGGGGGTGCGGCGCGAGCCCGGAGCGCGCGCGCGTGCCGCGAGCGAAGGATGGATGGATGGAGCTAGCGAGATCGCGAGCGTGCGCGCGCGCCCCTCTCCCCCTCCCTCCGCGCGGGCTCGAGGCCAAGCGCGAGCGCGCTGTAACCTCCTCCTCTTCCTCCTCCCGCCCCTCTTCAACACCCCGCCCCCGCCCTCCCTTCCTCTTCCTTCTTTCGCTTTCGCGCGCCCAGAGACGGCTCGCGCCTGCTAGAAGGGCCCGAGCGCGTGCATCTGCCCCGCGGCCGCAGCTCGGCAGCATTTGCTCCAGGGGGCGGGGACCGAGCGGGGAGGAGGGGCGCCACGCCACGCCGCCGGCCAAAGTACCGGCGGATGGGGACGGGGGCGGGGATATGGGCGGGGTCTTCGGGAGCCATCTTAACCAATCGTCGCCTCACCTTGGTTCGGCAGGCCCAATAGAATGGCGGTGGGTGTGGCGGCGTTCAAGGTGAGGTGCGCGGTGCGTTGGGGGCGGAGACGTTGAGCCGTCCCGGCCGGCTCCGGGGCGGGGGCAGCGGGTGGCGTCTAAAGAGAGCGCCGGCTCCTAGCCGAGTCTGGGACGTCTTCCGGCCCAAGCTCCCCCGCCCTTCCCTCGGGGCTCCCGGCTCTCCCCCTTCCCCAACTCCTTCACCGCGGGGTTTATCCTGAAGCGTGCAGCCACTTCTGGAAGAGGCTAGAGTTAAAGTGGGGCGCAGTTAGCACCTCAGGGCAAAAGAATCTGTGGAGCTGAAGGGGCTCGTCGGAACCTCTGTTCTGGACGGGTGTTAGCCCGCTCCAGGCCTGCGAACCCACAAACTCCCGAGATGAGGGTCCTCCGCTGTGGGCGATGCCGAGCTATGCCCTTCTGAGCTGAGCGTCCTCCCCGCCCTCATCCTAATTTAGATCCCACACCTGCTCGCCTTTCCTGCTTCCGGAACCCACGCTGGACCGCCCCCCTGCCCCCACGGCTTAGAGAGACTGCCTGGCATGGGCCAGACCCTTCCCCCGACGTAGCGACTCTCCTGAGTGTGCCCATATCCGCCCACTCTCACAGTCCCTCTTTACATTTTGGAGGAAAGGGCCTCCCAGCCGCAATAGATACCTAGAGTGGGGCTTTCATCTCGGTTAGTTTGTGCCTGGAGTCCTGGAATGGGTGTATGACAGCCCTCTCGCTTCAGAAGATAAGATTAAATGGGGAAGAAAGTCTTGAGTCATATACTTTGGGACCATTATTGGCCCCTTAATCTTTAGCAAACATTTCTAGAGTACATAGTACTATGTGGTTAAGACCAGGAATCAGATCTGAATTTAAATCTGTGTACTTGATAAATGAACTTGGGCAAATGGGCTCTGTTGTTGCCTCAGTTTCCTGTTGTCACTGGGTATAATGATCGTACCTATCTCATTAGGTTGTTTCGAGGATTGAAAAGTCAATGCTTGTGAAACTCAGTTCAGTGCGTGTGCCCAGTAAATCTTAGCTGTTGTTCTTTTGGAGCTCTGTAAGAATTCTTATCCATGCTGGAATGCAAACATGAAATATGACCATTGTACTTTCCCAAGTTCACAATTTGTGGTATAGACAGACCTGTAGGAAAATAATAGCCAAACCAGGTGTTAAAAACAAGAGAGATATACATAGGAGACAGGTGGCCAGGATAAAAGAGTTGATTGGGAAAGGCTTCTTGTAGTGGGATATGAACCAGGTCAGGGTAATCTAAGAAGGCACTAGACATCCTAAACAGCAAGCTTCAGAACATAGATCCGTCTGGGGATTGGCTGGAACATAGAAATGGGTGGGAAAGCAGCAGGAGGTGAGTAGGTCAGACGACACAGGACTAAGGGTATACTGAGGAATTTGCAGACTTTAAACCTATATGCCAAGGTAATCATTCAAACAGACTTGCATTTTAGGTAGAACACTCAGGAATGTGGACTCTGGGTACAGCCTTAGGAGCAGTAGGTTTTTTTAAATTCATTTTTCTTATGATTTTTTAATCATAAGATGATTAAAATCTTAATTTTAGGACACATCAGGTGTCCTCATCTGAGGACATGTTTATTGATGAAAGAGAAAAATAGAGATGTGCCCTGACTAGGAATCCAACCCCCAAGCTTTTGGTGTATGGGATGATGCCCCAACTGAGCCAACCAGCCAGCACAGAGGCTGTAGGTTTTTTTTTTTTTTAAAGATTTTACTTATTTATCTTTAGAGGGGAAGGGAAGGAGAGAGGGAGAGAAACCAATGTATGGTTGCCTTTCATGCGTCCCCTGCTGGGAACTGGCCTTCAGGGAACTGGCCTGCAACCCTGGTATGTGCCCTGACTGGGAATCGAACCGCGATTGTCTGGTTCGCAGGCCCGCGCTCAATCCACTGAGCTACACCAGCCAGGGCGGCTGTAGGTTTTTATTATCGATTAAGGTGTATGGGGGAAAGGGGAAAGGGAGACCCTGAAAACACCTTTAACCAAGATGGGGAATATGAGATGTGAGGATACAGGAGAATGACAAACTTCATTTGGGACTATGTTGGAGTTACTATAGGATCAGCTGGTGCGGACTCATAGAAGTAGTTGAACTTGGGTCCAGAATAAAGGAGTGAGGCCAGGCCTTCAGATACCTGCACAGCATGAATCAGGAATTCTCCACTCCATTGATGTGTCTCTAAATATGCGCAGTAAATCCTGCCCTAAGGAATTTACACATACGCAGGAAGCCTTCCTGTCTCCTCCCTGTTTGCCTAAATGCTTTGTTACTTACCCACCTGTGGCCACCCTCAGATGAAATTCCTTTACAACGGGATCGTACAATTCATTCAGCACTTGGCTTGGGCTGCTCTGTGGTGGTGACCTCTTTGGGCACATGCCCAGTCTCCACAGTTATCACCAGTCAATAAACACTAAGGACTGCACTTATTTTAGGCTCAGGGTAAGGCTCTGGGGTTACAGAGACATACGTGTCCCAGTGGAACTTACAGCTACCTGATGTGACGACATCCAGGCCATTGAAGAAACAAATGGCATGGAGACATTTTTGTCAGGGGGTGAGGGGAGGGTTCCCTGGAGGAAGTGATACTTTATTTCATTTTATTTATTAATTTGAGAGAGAGAGGGAGAAAAACATTGATGTGTTGTCCCACTTACGCATGCATTCATTAGTTGATCCTGGTATATGTCCTGACTGTGTATTGAACCCACAACCTTGGCATATTGGGACAATGCTCTAACCAACTGAGCTATCCAGCCAGGGCCAGGAAGTGATCTTTTAAGTGGAACCTTGAATGAAGCTAGGTAGAGAGATGAAGAGGAATATTCTAGGCAGAGGGAACTATTATGTATGATGTGTACAGGCCCAGGAGGAGAGTGTGTTATGTTTGAGACATGGATCGCTGGTGTGGCTGGAATTGGGACAGAGAAGCAAGTGGGGTCAACAGATCCCCTAGGGCCTTGTAAGCCATACTTATTCATTCAACAAATATTTGTTGAGTGTCAAATGTATAACATGCAATTTTATTGGAATTACTGTAATGAACAGCAGATAAGGTGTCTTCTTGGGGAGCTAGAAAATAAACAAGTACACAAATACGTAAATACGGAACTGTAGAAGGAGGCCTTTTTAGAGAGGGTGGGGAAGGAAGGCCTGTTTGTGAGGTAACATTTGAGCTGAGGCCTGAAAAAAGAAAACCAGCTATGTACCGAGTTGGGGGCATAGCATTTTGGGCAGAGAAAACAAGTGCAAAGGCCCTGTGGCGGGTATGTTTGGGGAACAAAAGAGAGATCACTTGGCTGGAAACTGTGCGTGGTTAGGAAGAGTGAGGTGAAGGAAAGAGAAGGGAAGAAGGGCTAGACCTTGTAGGGTCATGGCAAGTAAGGCATGGTAAATTATCAAGTACAGAAATAACCAGATTTGTTTTTAAAAGACAATTTGGGTTGCTATGTGCAGAACAGACTGTAGGGGGCAAGAGTGCAGACAGGAAGCGGAACTTTAGGTCTTGGCAGAAGTTGAGCAATGGTGTGGCTTTGAATAGGATAGGGATGGCAGTAGTGAAGAAGGGTGGACAGATTTCAGAGAGACACAGGAAGTAGAATGGACAGGTCTAAGCAAAGGAATAAATGTGGAAGAGGGAGAGCGCAGTCAAGGCCGAAAGCCTGGCTTCTGGACTGAATAACTGGATGGCCAGTGATCACTTTGTGTCTTGAGGTGTGAGATACCTGCAAGATAT